TCTTGGCTTTCTTTCTATTTTTTTTTCTTTTTGTTACTCTATATTAGTTTGTATCATCTTTAAAAATTGATAATTTTTTTTTACATATTTGTGAACAATCCTTCAGGCCTGCAATGTCTGAAATAAGGTAATAAACACAGTTGCAATTTCACTTAGTGACTGTTTCGCTTAACAACTGAGTTGTGGCTGCTAAATAAGGATTACCTTTTTAATACACATTTAGGATTAACTGTACAACGGTACAGATCACTTTCTGTACTATAGGGCTTTAGAAAAAAAGAGACATTTTCTAAAAGTAAGAAAAGAGGCTAGAGTTGATTTTGTATGGTCTTAAGTAGGGTTAAGAGAGAAATGAATAAGCTAAGCCTATCACACCTACAAAACTCTGGGTACCCATTTGATGGCAACAAAGAAATCAAGAAAAGTCCAACCTTTCCTGCTACCACATGGCAGGCTTATTTGCAGTGAAGGTATAGTATGTTTTTATCTAAGCATAAAAACTTTTTATCTAGTTTAATATGCCTACTTTAATGACATGTGTGAACCAGGCAGTAATATTGTAATATATTATTAATCGTACAAGCACTATGGAGTTTCAGGTAAGATTAATTGTAGTAATTATCCTGATTTCATATATTTATAGGACCGGGAAGGGACCTTGGAGGTCTTCTACTCCAACCCCCTGTCCAAGGCAGGAGTCCTTATTAAATCCCAAATGGTTGTCCAATCTTTTCTTGAAAATCTTTGGCAATTTCAGTCTTCTGCTCTCAGTGGTTAATGATCAAATAATTCTAAACTTTCCTGTGTTTTGGTTTGGAGTTAGTATGATATGTGAACATAGCCATTATGATTAAGGTTTTTCCTTCATCAACAAAATAGTAGTTAGAAAATCTTGATTTAGTGATATATGTAAATGAACTCAATATTTCTTAGACTATATACTTACACGGTTATGTTGAGGATAAAGGAGTAAGGGGAGTACTTAATTTTGAATCACGATTGAAACATGCAGCTCTATAAAATAGCCCATTTGTATAGCAATTAACTTTAGAAGATGTTTGTCTGGATATATGCGCATTATAAATATGCACATACTGTTCATGATCCTACAAATATAAAGATTCTGTGGCTCAGAAATGTTTTGTCTGCTCCAACAGGTCATTCAGTGGGCATTTCTGCAAATGCATGTATTTCTTGTACATTTTGTTGAATGGGTTGAAAGGGAACATTGGATGGACAGCCAACCCTGACATAGCTCTTTTGTGCTGTAGATGGTTGGATTAATCATAGTTTCTCTTAAGTCAATACATAGCTGAAATGTCCATTCAGCATCCGCTTTTACTACAGAGGATGAAGGGGAATTCATATCACAAGAGTGCTTTGAACAGGAAATCAAGCTATGGCCTAAGTATATGATTAATCTCTAAGGGGGAAATAAAGGAGGAGCATTAGAAACTGAACTGCAGTCAATTACTACAGCCGGATGACATTCAACTCAACATGATCACAAGCCCTGTGGGCTAGGAAGGCCTCTTACATACATCTGCAGTCATCCTGTCTGCTGGACCCTATTTCAGAGAGACACAACGTGAGTTCTAGGACTATACGTGCCACCTTCTTAGGGGCATCTTCCAGAGCTCTAGTTATAAATGAAATAACAAAAAAGGAGTTTTTTTAAAAAAATGCTTATTAATTTAATTCACTTTTAACTGGAATGCTTTCCATCAAATATTCTTTGTTTTCAGAAAAAAATCAAAGAAGCAAAACATCTTACAAGATATACACTGTAAAAGTAGAGGAATACCTTCACTCTTAAGAGGGGAGGTTGGAAGTCTTGTAAAACCCCATGTACAAGGACATTAAATAATGTAACATCTAAGGCTCTGAGGTTAAGGAATGCTGGATGGTACATACACCATACTGTTGGCCTCTGTATAGCCTTCCTGAAATTTGAAAACTTCAGGACCTGGATAGCTAATGCCTTCTACATGATCATCTAAAATGCAAAGACAAGTTAAATTCTTGGTGGAAAGCTTGAACCCTATAAAACAATATTGGACTATGTCTGACTCATCCAAAATAAGATAAAACAGCTCATGTGGTGCCTGCTTCCTGGTGGTCAGTTTAATTGAGTTCCCTGTCAGCCTGACAGAAAAACAATATAGTCCTTGAATTTACAACTGTAATTGAGCCCAAAATTTCCAAGGAAGACAGTTTAGTGAGTTGTGCCTCATTTTATAATTTTTTTTAACCGTGGTTGCCATAGTTGATAAGTGAATTGTGAAGTCATTAAGCAACACCCATTGACTTTTCTTGCCAGAAGGTTCCTAAGGTTGCAAATGACAATCCTGGGGGTGCTGCAATTGTCATAAATACATGCTGATTGTCAAGCACCCAAAGTTTGATCACATGGTGGTGGGGTTGCCGCATAACTCTGAAAACTGGTCACAAGTCTTTTTTCAGTGCTATTGTAACTTTGAATGGACATTAAACAAAACTTTGTAAATCAAGGACTATCTGTAACCTGGAAATTTTCACTTTGTCCATTCATCGACACAGGACCAGGTGAAGCTCAGATGCTGATCTTACTTTACAGGCTTCAATAAAGCAGAAAAAGAAAAAAAGGATGGTCTTATATGATCTGAGAACTTGATAAAAACATCCAATCAAAAAGATACAAAATCGTTAAAAATGAAAGCTTTAATAAAGGTGAAACTGAAGATACCCAGAGAGGTGAAACAGGCACTAATACTAATATGTACTCCAAATTAATAAAATACATATTTCAGGACTTTCTGGTAATCCAGAAGAGAGAGCTGTGGGGTTTTAATTACCTAACATATAAAAACAACTATAGCTGTTATAACTATATGTTATAGCTATACACACTATATGTTATAGCTGTTTTAAGACAAGGTGGCCCCAATTTTGATTGAACAGGCTAATGTTGGCAATGTCTTCCATCTCATATCTTCCACCTACTTGTCTGCTAGGTAATGCTACTGTTTACAGAAATTAGAAAGACTAGGAAAAATTAAAATGGTTATGAAGACATTCAGAAGAAATAAAGATTTGATTTAACAAATACTTTCATAATCATCAGATTTGAAGCCGGCAGAGGAGTTCGCTATTCTTTTTTTAAAGAAACCAAAAACAGCTCAAATGATACTATTGTCACAAAAAATGCAGATACTCCAATTCCTTTTGGAATCTGTGACTGAACTAACATTAAACCAAGACTGATTTTACTATTTATGCTAAAGGAATGTGGTTGATTTGTGATTCAGTGGTTGTGTGATCCCAGCCCATGTGATTGGGCATTCTGTGTGGATTAAGAAAATAAAAAACTTAGGGTTATAGGTGCTATGCAAAACTACATAGCAGTTGCTTATGAAAGAGAAACATCATACTCTGTGAAGAGTATAAAGCTGGGAGAAGTTGCCTTGATTTATATAGGTATAGGGAAGATAACAAAATTCACTCTGGAAAAGAAAACAATTGTTTGAAAATCCAGTTACCATTAGAAAGGACTTCCCAGGGAGCTTGTACCAAAACAGAAACAATACTGCTAGCATGTATGAAGGAAAGAATATCTAAAGACCATAGGAATTGAATCTGAAGGAAACTTGTGGCATAAGGAAGCCCCTAACACTATTTCTGCTGTGAGTGATTGGTTAGGATGAAGCCTGGGAAAATGTGGAATGCCTCTTATGGATTGTAACTAAGTAAGCTAACTAAGCCAATAGGATTAAGAGATACATGAAACACAGAGGTTGCATTTGTATTGTGTGATTAAACCAAAGTGTAAAGTATAAATCAGCTTGTATGATTTAGTGTCTTCTATAAGTTCAAATCTTGGTTAAGCAAACAATGATTTAGTATGCTGTAGAAATACAATCATAGTTAAAACACAGACATACTAAAAGGTAATACCAGCCATCAACTTTAGAAAAGCGTTTACATTAATTGGGAAAGGATAGTATCAGCAGTAAAGACTAAAATTGTTGCAAACTTATAGACTTCTACTGATTGGATCTAACTGGAACATAATCAGGAATAGATAAGTTTTTGATCTGCACTAAAAGGGCTCTTCCTAAATGTATTTATTTATCTGATTTGTCAATTGCTTACAAGGTATAAGAATAGACATGAATATGAATATAGGAAATAGGTGTGAATAAATGGGGGCAATAGGACAGGGACAGTAGGCACGATTGTGCACTTATGCACACCCCTTACAGACCTCTTAGGAATGGGTGAAGTCAATAGTAGATAGTTTAAGGTTAAAGGAGTGGGGGGTTTGAGGATGTAACAACAGAGTCACGTAGTGCATTCCCAGGCATTGACCACTCTGTTGCTGAAGTTACTTTCTGCAATTAAGTTTGGAGTGGTTTACATTGAGTTTGTATCTGTTGTGTACTCTTGTATTGTTGTGGTTGAAGCTAAAGTAGTCATTGACTGGTAGGACATTGTAGCAGATAATTTTGTGTACTACGCTTAGGTCCAACCATAGGCAGCTTAGTTCTAGGTTGTCCCAGCCCAAAATTTCAAGTCTGATGATGTACGGTATTCTGTTGCAAGCAGAGGAGTATAGTACTCTTCTCATGAAATACTTCTGGACTCGCTCAATTGCATTAATATCCGATATATAGTGTGGATTTCAGACAGATCAGTTGAGTATTGTTCTAGCAAAGGTTTTGTATGCCCTAGTTAGCAATTCAACATTACCGGAAGAGAAGCTTTGTAAGATTAGATTTACAACTCTTAATGTCTTTTTGGTATTAATTCTAAACTTACATTTAAATACTGTGTCACAAAAATATTTCCCTGAAAGATGACCAAAATGTTCATAATTTTATTCATTTGTATCTAACAGCAGAATCATTTCCATGGCTATGGTAGTAAAATCCAGTTACAATAAGACTGATTTTAAGATTCATGTTGATGGGAACAGTTGAAAGTTTTACAGCAATGAAGTACTATGAAGTAGTATGAGGCTTATTGAAAAACTTTATTACATATTGTTGCAAGGAAATCCATAAATTTAGCCAGGAAAATTTGAAAAGGAAATAGGCAAAATAGCAATGTTGTTATTATATGACTAATCAATTATGTGCAGAGTTAATGTTAAGATGTAACTTGGTAATGTTAATGGCAACTCTGTCAATAACTGAATGTAACTTTTAATATTGGATTGGATTCATTAGAAAAATCCATTACAGCCACAAAGGTTTATTTCACTGAATGGTTAAAAATATAGCCATGGTTCAATGAGAATCGCATATACAGGCCATGATAACTGTTGCTTGGCTGTTAGAAGACAAGTTTATATAGAGAAACTCTTTGTTTTGAAATCACATGCTTTTCTTTTCACAGTTTTATTGTACCAGAAAGTTAAATATATCTTTCTCCTATGTCCAGGTTTGAAACATTCAATCCAGTTCAAACTGATTAGAAATGATGCAACATAACAGTGAATTATAATGGCACCATAGTAAATTCACAGTTTTTAAAATTGCTTTGGTTTATCCAGTCTAGTACTTACTAAGTCTGAATTGTATAACTGTAAAGTTTTTTCCATAATAATAATTATTTTATCAGAGATACAACTATGGCAGCATCTTATCAAAAGAATTAAATGCCTAGAAAAATAAATTTGTTCCATGTCACAAACTGACCATTTGTCCTTTAGAATTTTTAATACTAAACTTCAGTTTTCAAAACTGTGCAGTATACAAAGATCTTCAAAGATAGCTATCACATAAATAATTGCTGATTTTAGAGCCATCTGTCATAACAAATGTATTTTCTTTTACCTCAGAGCTTTTTCCTTAAGATGCTTCTCAGTACAAGCCCCATAGATGACTATTTCTAGTTATTTTCTGAATCAGCTATAATTACAATAAAGTCAATAGATATTGTTATCTATCCATTTCAGTGAAAAAAAATAAAGCTTAGTATTGTAAAAATTAAAAAAATGGGAATAGAAGAGTTTATCATTGTTCACAGTGCTCCTTTATTTATTTAATTTATTTGTATTTCATGTTTCCGCCCATCTCCTTCAAGGAGAGATATTCTCTTTCCATTATGTTTTAGATAAATTAGGATGGAAAGAGACCATCTCAATCTTTCTATTATTTTTTTGCTAAGTACATTCAGTTTAACTTTGGTGCCAGTAATCCTAAACTAATATAAACTTGAAAAGAATAGTATGCTTGGGTGGATTCTGTTTTTAGGAAGCATTCTTGCTTATTTATATATAAAATAGGTTTAGTTTGTAACTCAGTGGTGTTAGTGTCAAATTTTCACTAAATACAATAAAAACAACCCCCATAAATTCAATAAATAAATGATATTGAAAGGTGTCTATTGTTTTAAAGTTACTAACAACTTTGGCTTCAAATTTAATTAGAGTAGACACCTTATTTGAATATATGAACACAACTGTGCCACTCCTAAAGGTGTGCATGTGTGCGTGCGTATACACACACACACACAGATCAAAAAGAACTATAATCATTAGTTAATTGTAACATTATTAGTTTCCAGTCCACCAAGAGAGAATTATGTGTAAAAGTATGCTGGAATCAACCCTACTGACACCGTAAGGAAGTGAGGAAAAATGAGGACTCACTTGTACACATGTCAGAATGTGACTGGAATACTACACAATACCTAATCAGAACTTTTGCTCTTGAAGTAGTAATCATTTTCCAGTTCAAGACAGGAAAGGATGCTAGAAACTACCCTCTCCCTTGCTAGTTTAACAAGTAGGTTACTGCTGCCAGGATTTTGATATTCAAGATACAGGTCAATAATGTAGTAAACCTACATTTTCCATATTGTGCAGATGTATCACTGCTAAGTCTCCTTAGAATCACATCGTACTTATTGCCTAAAAAGCTAAAATAAACATATACTTTACTGCGACTACTTTTCATATAATCCACAGGGTTCGTTGCAATGTAAATGAATGCTAACACCCATATGTGCCTAGGCCAGGCGTGTCAAACTCATGTCATCACGACGGCGTCACGTGATGTATCAGGACTTTTTTCCCCTTCGCTAAACCGGGTGTGGGCATGGCCAGTGCATGATACATTTAGCCTGCAGGCCGCAAGTTTGACAGCCCTGGCCTACACTTAAGGCACATGTAGCTCTCCAGATGATGTGAAAGCTGTCGTTTTCTTTAGCACATGGACCAGATATGTACACAAATGCCTTATGTATATATAGTTCCTCCATTCCTCATATAGTTCCACATATTCAATTCTTTCAAGCATAAACAGTTCTTTTAGCTGTACTGAAACAAACAAGATCTTTGGAGTGGAAGTTAGTACATTTTGAGTGCGGTAAAAGTTTGCTCATAGATACTACAAAGTCAAAAGATGGATAAAATTAAAACACAAACAATGCCATCATCTACAGTTGCAGTTCTTCTGAACCAATGCATGAACGTCCTGTGAAGTCACTCATGACCTTTAAATGGTGCGGCAGATGGAGCTTCAAAGACATCATCTTCCACACTTTCTTCAATTGGTTTCATTTTGGATGATGTTCTTAAACAAGGAGATGGTTGGCCTGCCAACATTTTCAAAAAGCAATCATTGAAAAACAATGTAATACTTAAAACAGTGTACAACAGTAATGAGATATTCAAAATATATCCTTCAATAATTGAATGATTTAGATTAGACAGTCTATATCGAATTCCAGAGATAGGAAAAGAAAATTAAAAAATAAAATTTCACCTACAATTCATTCTGAACAGCTGTTCTTGAGTTCTAGAGTATTATATAGATCACACTTCCACAATCTAGTGTCAATCCAAATGTAATGGAATTACAATTCTTAGAATTCCAACCCAAGATAATATCAAGTTGAGAAAGGTTGAAAACTGATGTTCTAAATTATTTTGATATTATCTTTTAACTTTAAAATGTATGCAGTAAATAATTTAATCAATGAAATTCTGCTGTATGGCATAGGTTTAGCTTGGGAATGTTACATGTTTTACATTGATTTTTTTTTAATCTTATAAAATAAAAGTATTCCAGCTCCCATTCCCCTTGGTATTTAAAAAAAATAACTGTTTTCAACATTTTCTGCAGTTCAGCATTTCATAATTATTACAAATATCAAGAAATAGTGAAAGAGAATAAGAACTTGCCCTGAATTAGTAAATAAAATAGTATTCTGTACTTTCTGATAATTTTTTCAGAGGCAAAGATTCAAGCAAAACAGATAGGAAATGTAGTAGTTAATTTTTATTTACATTTAATCTACTTGCACAATACATGCTCAGAATCAGCTAACTCTTATTAACTTTTTTTGGGGGGAACTTAGTTGTTAGTTCTGGAAACATTCAATATTAATAGAAACACGGGATATATAAAAGCAAATGAATGAACGAACAGCTATTTGATAAAATACTATCTCATCATAATCCTATGCCTGTTTATTCAAAAGTAGTTCAGCTGAGTTCAGCTCAGTTACTCTCATGTAAATGCATATAGGACTGCAGCATTGGGCTTTTTGCAGACAAATGCTTTTCACAGTGCTTGCAAAGAGCATAAAGAGTTGGAGCATTTTGACCCTGGAGCCTCACAGGGTTGAGAAAGAAGACATCTTCACTGTAATTACATAAAGTGCGTCTGTTTGATGGAAGGAAAGGTTCAACCATTCCCCTGTGGGGATAACTTCACATGCCGATAACTGCATGGTTATGCATGAAGGTCTGTACATGATGCATTTCTTCGCTTCCTGCAAAAACTGGAGTCATCCTCATTAAGATGTTTCCTGCTTTGCTGTCCAGATAGGATCCTTTGCTAATACTTTTCTGAAGCATCAAGTCTGGAAAATATTTTTCACCTTACCCTCCCCATGAGAAAGCCATGAAGCACACAATGAATAAAGTACAATACATAGATATTCCTATCTCCATATCCCTTATGGAATGGATACACTAAGTACCAAGAGTGGTTTGGCAGTTATGTATATAAATGCAGGAGTCTATGCCTCCATAGCACTCAAAATAAAATACAGAATTCCGTTTCTTTCTGGCATCAACTCGAGTCGGGCTGCCCAATGTTAAGAGGACCGATCCAAGCTTTGCCTCCTATGCAAAGACTTCATTCAAAAAAAAAAAAAAAAATCAGCTGGGCCACTTTTTCTTGCCATTTTTAAAAAGAATTTACTATTTTAAGTTTTTAAGCTTCATTTGTTCTCATCATTACAAGAGTTCTCAATAACTTGACAACCTTCAGTTGTCCTTCTATTAACGTGTGCCTGCACACCTCTCTGTATGTGTACAAGGAGGTACATATTTTTTTAACAGAAGATGGAAGATTACAGAATAGTTTGAGTCAAGTATCAAAAAGGGAAAGAAAATCCGCTCAATATTTTTGAGAGGCTAAAGGCTGGCATCCTCGCCAAGGAGTGCAATGTTAGGATGTGCTGCAGTTCAGGATTATCCTCAAGGGCGCTTTGGAGTGAGCATGCACATCACACCTATCAGTGCTTCCTTAAAGAAACGACATACTTTTTTGGCCTAACATAGAGCCCAGAAAAATATACATGTTTTGAATTCAGGAAGCACCATAAAATGTGGCAAGCTGCAGGAGGCACCAATAGTTGCAATAACCCAGACCAAAGCATTCTTTCAGCTTCTAAACTTTGTAGTGCAATAGGTGGGTCCCTCAAGCTTCATTTCACCTCTTGAAATCCTTCAGAATTCGAAAAATGGAAAAATGTTTCAAAGGCTTGAGGATCAACCAGATACCACCAAAGGGGTGCTAATGGGCTACATGCCACACGTGGGTTATGGTTCTGGGGCCTTTGAAGTACAACTTAAGCACCAGCAGCAGAAAAAAAAAACACTATGTATTTTAGGTGGCCTAGTGAGGCATGGACAACGTATTCTAGGAAACTGTCTCCAAAATTTTCCTATCTGGAAATTTTGCAGTCCCCCAGATGCGGAAAAGCTAGTGGTTTTTTTCAAGGAGTGTAATGTAGTTACAGTAAATATAAGTATTTACATCATTCCTACTCGTTTCCTACTGTAAACGAGCATGATATTGTGACCCTAAAACCATGTATGAAATCAGCATAAATTGTTCTATGAATTTCTAGTTGAATACAAGTATGCATAGCAATAGCAATTTGACTTCTGTATCACTTCACAGTGCTTTACAGCCCTCTCTAAGCGATTTACAGAGTCAGTATATTGCCCCCAATAATCTGGGTCTTCATTTTACCAACCTCGGAAGGATGGATATAGCTTTTGTATGCTGATACAATCTTTAATTCTGCAGAACCCAAACTACTGTATTATTTCACTCAAGTTTGTGACATTCAGTCCATTTCATACAATTTTTGACAATGTTGATGAATATGTCATGCTGTTGACAAAAAACATACTTTAAATTCATTCCATAAGGATTCATTCCATAAATTAATCCTTGTTGGTTTATTTTTTAAAAACACAAGAGTCAGATTTACATCAATAAATATTAAATATGCACATGCTCTATTAGTAGTTTTAGTCCTATGTATTCTTAGTGTGGAATTAGCTACTTAATGCAGAAAATAAAGAAACCAACTTCTGTTAAAAATTGAATAAGATCATATTGTATATAACAACATAATATTTTTTGGAAATTTAAGACATCATGAAACACTGGTTGGAGGAAAGGGATCTAATTTCTATAAGGATGGGGGGCAACTTTTTCTGGACATAGACCATCCTAGCTTTTCAGGAATTTGCTGGGCAATCCATTCCATGTGGATTCTCATTTTAACTCATTGGCTTTTACATTTAATTAAAATTGAATAGAATTTCCCAATTACATCTTTAGTCTCCCCTCTTCTGTCACATTAAAAATTGAAATTTGTTAACAAATTTGGAGCTTTCTAGTTAAAGGTGTTTCAGGCTCACACTATCCCAAGGCCTAAAATTATGCACCTGTGGTTTACAATGAGAATATTGGATGAGGTTTAATTTCCATAAAAATCTATGAAGTAATGAAATTCACACTTTCAAAGGTGAATGCAGAGGACAAATTCTTACCCGTAAGCAGGTCACAGTGTTTAGCAGATATCCAAATTCTTAGATCTGTACTAATGCACAACACTTGTACGTGCTATATAGATTTTTTTTTAGAATAAAAACGTCTAAATAATCTGATAATATGTTCATTTTCTCTTACCATGAACAGGCTGGTTTCTCTGAACTTTTCAGGAAAAAGGGGACACAAAGGCTTGAGCACCATATTTGAAAACTAACAATTAAGTGCAGAAATTATCCCACATTAAGAAACATATATGAAGAAATATTCAAATGAAAAATTGGTCAGTAATGTTTGGTTTATGATAATTAGTCACACATGGAAAAGGAGCTGTTTGATTATGACTACTCTGAGAGAGGAATGCAAATACTGGCCCTAATATAAGCAATACAGTGATGCATTCAGATGCACCTTGTTGCATGACTCCCTTTCCCCCTTCCCAACTCTTCTCCCCAAAAGCAACATGATTTTGGCCACTGACTACAATGTTTAGTGATGCCTGGAAATGTTGACTGACTAGCTAATGACTCACGAAGGGTAGATGCAGTAGAAGTTCCACGCAGAAAATGTTGTAATCCATCTTCACTATCACTTGAGCTTGCCATGCTATTCCTCATTTGCATCACAGACAGTTGGGAACAGAGGCTGGGCTGGCGATCTATTTTTTGGGATGTCTGCACAGAAAAAAAAAAACCACACAATTCTCCATCAGTCCTAGATTGCTAATAAATATTCATCTCCTGCCATCATTTCTTTTAAGTTGTTCAGACAATGCTTTCTCAGCTACCATCCCAACAACCCCCATAGAATAGGATGACAGAATGTCTGCTAATTATAACTTGGATAACTAAATTATGATGGGGGAAATAAGAACTCTGTGGCAATTTACATATAATAGGGTAGAAACCTATTAGTCTCCACCGAACTGACAGCTTCCCTCTCTATTGGTCATGCTCAGCAAAAACTAGAAAGACAGATATTGATGCTAAATAATCCCTGAGGGCTAAGATATTACATTAGAGAAGAAGACTCAACTAGCTCAGTAGAAGAAGACTCAATAGAAGAATTCTAGTTTTACTATTTTGGGGTGCAGGCAGTGGGAGCTAATTATTCTACATCAAAGATACAAGGTTTTAAAAAAAAACTTAAAAAGCAATCAGGTCACTTCTAGCCAAATAACTCCAGTTTTGCCACAGATTTATAGGTCACAGCAGGGGCATTTAAAGTGGGGAAGACTTGTAAGCTGCATGTGAATGGATAAGGACTTGCCCACATATCTTTTGATGTGCAGCACAGAAATAACCATTCTCACTTTCTCATTCCCAGACCCTAGGTTGTGGGGAAATTACATAAAAATGCAAGCATTTGGCTATGTCACTACTGAGAAGAAAAAAGAGAGAAGAAATAGCTACTTAAATAATGTTCAAGGATAAATCCATAGGCAGGATCATTTCAATGGATAGTATTTAAAAACAATCATATAGGAGGGAGAAGACCTTAAACTACACATTTTAGGTTTAACCGTTTTATGCTTTAGGTAGCCTGCTGCTCTCTATTTCTTGCTCTTCATTTCACATATAAATCAGGAATAGATGATTAAAAACAGCAAGTAAACACTTATGCCAACAGCATATGTTTAGAAGGAGAAAAATTACATATGGAGAGCCATAGAGTTTGATTAACTGTGGCATTATGTAAGTTTGTATGGCCCCGTCAAGTATGACAAATCTGTCCCAATGGACCTATATAAGTAAAGAACCCAGTGACTTCATGGATATGCTCGTATAGCTTCTTCACAGCCATGCAGAAGTGGTTTCTTTATATCTTTCCTTTGAATCATTGCTTAAAACTCCAGTTCCTAAATTCTCTGATAGTGAAGAAAGCCTTTACTTTCAAAAGACTGTTGCTGCATTAAGATATCTAATCAGATATCCAAGTGGAAGCATGTGAACATTTATACAGTTCAACTTATGGCAAAGGAGTTCCAATGCCATGCAGAACAGGAAATATATTCAATGTCTCAAAATAACCTATGATGGAAAGGGCAATATAGATATTAATGAATACAGAACCAAGGTCCAAACAGTTTAAAATCCTCTAGAGTTTTGATGAGTTCTTGATCCAACTCCAAAACCAAATGATGCTTGATAATTATAAGTTTCAAAAATATAACTGTTAAGTGTTGTTCTGCATGACATTACATAAAATTCAGCATTCCAACTATTAGTCATTTATTTAGTTCCCTCAAAAAAACATTTAATTGCCATCATCCAGTAGTTGTATTTATCTTCTCTTGGATATGATAGAAAAATTGATAGAATTCAATACGAAGTTATAAATAGGTATTCTAAATTAATTGTGTTTTAAGAAGCTGTGTGGGAAAGGATATTGTACATTTTAGAAGGGAGCACAAATTAGCTCATCTATAAAACAGTTATATAATGCATGGAAGTCAATAGGGAAATGCTTACCTTATCACTTAGGGTTGGATCATTTAATGAGTATAACTTGTTTGTAATATCCTTTCCAATAAGATACTTAAATATTTCAAAAAGAAATGGCTCTGATTCTAGAAAAAATGCAAGTCTCTCTCTGGACCAACATAAGAATTTGCAGTTATCATCAGCAGTAATTGATACCTATAAAGAAAGTGTGGTCAATAATTAATACAGCATTTTAATTGTTCCTATGACTACAGCATATTTAATTCAAATCTCAGCAAATGACTAACATCAATAGCACTTATATACTGCTTCATAGTGCTTTACAGTCCTCTCTCTGATCGGTTTACAGAGCCAGCATATTAAAAATACTTTATTCTATGAATTTTCTCATTTCAGCAAGGATGAAATGGTATTCTGACTATACCAAGAACCTTGCTTTCTATTCTATTTCATTTGGATTTTTAAAACCCTGTAAAGAAAGGTATTGCAAAGGAGGAATTAAAGAAATATGAGAGTCAGTACAAAGAATTCAAACAGCCAAGCTTTAATTACAGTATGTAACATTGTACAGCGGGCCCAACACTCCAGTGCTGCAAATCTTATTTGCGGATAAAGTTTAACTGGTTGTAATCAAAGTCAAAGAAAATGGAAACATTGAATCAGAAGCAGAATAATAAGCATAATTTTCCTCTAATTATTTTAAGAATAATATAAGGCAAGGATGTTAAACAATTCCTTTACTTTTGGGATACAGTAGAGCCTTCGGTCACAACCGTAATCTGTTCCAGGATTTCGGCCACAACCCAGTTTGGTTGTGACCAAAAGCACAACCGTCTGCACATGCGCAGACAAACCCCTCTCAAAAAAATGGCAGCAAAGGGGAAATTGGCATGGAAAGAGAATCTTTCCACACAGATTTTGTTCGCCACCTGATTTTTGAACTGTGACCCAATTCAAAAATTGGGTGGATTTTTTGTTTGCCATCCAATTTGGTCAGGAACAGGAGCATTCATGACCTGAGGCTCCACTGTTTTACAAAACATCCTTTATCATTTCATAGTTCTGAAATACAGCTACCATATCTGCACTGCTAAAATCCATGTCACTGCCAGCTGTCAGGAGAGTGTTAAAATGTGTGTATCTCTTGGCTTCCCTTGTCTGGATTTATGCAGCCCATCTCTGATAGCCCCGTTCTGAAATGGCCATATAAAGGTAGTCCTCAACATACAATGGTCCACTTAGTGACCATTACAAAGGCACTGAAAAATGGGACTTCTGACTATTTTTTACAGTTACGACCTTTGTAGAATCCCTATGTTCATGTAATCAAAATTCAGATGCTTGGCAACTGGTTCATATTTATGTCAGTTTCAGTGTCCCAAGGACATGTGATCCCCCTCTGAGAAGCAAAAGATCACTTTCTGACAAGCAAAGTCAATGGGGAACCCAAGTTCACTTAACAACCAGGCTACTAACTTATCAACTGCAATGATTCACTTAACAACTGCGGCACAAAAGGTCGTAAAATGGGGCAAAACTCACTTAAGAAATGTCTCACTTAATAACAGAAATGTTGGGCTCAATTGTCATCATAAGCCAAGGGCCACCTGTACTCTGATAATATGCAACTTAGATCTTCAACAGGAATATTGCTCTTCCTCTATTTCATCCAGCATAAGCTCTAATCATGTAAATAGAAGTAACAGTATCATGGGATGGACTATCTTCAGTTGAATGCTTCAAGGATTACGGCCTCAGAATAAAAATCAATTTAAGTGCTGTTTATATATGCAGGCTAGCTACCAATGATTGTGTTCAGGGCATCTCCATAAAACTAAATCCAGCAGATGGCACCAGTGTATTAACAAGAACAAAAGGGAGGCAAATTCCCTCATCCAAAGATCCATAAACAAAAAAATGTAAGTATATCCCTTCCAAAAAAATTGAAAGCAATGTCTAAGCATGTGGGGAGGTCTATCAACTATTTGTAAATGTTGTCTACCTATCATTAAATGCATATTTTCATTTTCTAAGAAATGAATTAGTATGTGAATTAAAACAACATTTTCCATCATTAAAAAAGCACACATATATTAAATAAACAAAATTCTAGAAATTTGTGGTTAAAAATGTACAATGTGTGATCAAAACAATCAAAACAATGTGTGAATTTTAGTCCCCTTGGCAAATAAATCTAGCACTCCTATTCTTGCCTTGTTCTTGTTTTGATTGAATTTAAACTAATGTGTGGAATAAGAAGGCTGAGATGTTTTCTTTCGGTATCTGGTAGAGACGGTATTTTCTCCAAGTCTGAATAAATGAGTGCGCAAAACCCAAAGTAGATAATGTGTTAGAAAGAACAGAAGTATCTTGTATTGGTCTTCCAGTAGGGGGATTACTGTATTATGACAGCAACCTTTCTATGGCATTAAGCCCAGTTCTTGAGTGGAACATATTACGCTAAGTCACTGATTTTAGATTCCGTACCAGGCTCAGTTTCACTTTTACTATCAAGTTAACCAACAACTGCATAAATTCCTGGTCAGGCATAGGAACCAGGCTTCCAAGGCAGAGATTGCCTTTTACTATTAAAAGGCACTGCAATGATTCCATCTTTTACTCCCTCACATGTTTGTTTGTTTGGTTGGTTTTTTTGGGGGGAGGGAGGGGTGAAGAAGGAAAGGAAAGGAAAGGAAAAAAGCAGCTCTGGGCAACTGCATCAGAAAGATCTAGCTAATTAGTTCCAACTAATATCTGAAACTCGTTTGCTGGAGAATCATTTTGGAAATATGGGATCTCTCACCAATTTTGCAGCCTATTATCTCTTTATTTCTAGAGATCCCTGAAAAGGTACTTGCTGGAGTAGTAGATCTTATTTTTCCAAATCTCTTTAAGTCATACTATGGGAAAGCAATAATTTTCAACCGTTTTTTATTCTTTTTAAAAATGACTTTAGAAATTTGATGGCTAATTACAAATAAAAAGTCCTGGAAGGAATCATATTCCAATATTTCCTTGATTGCTGTTATCAGTTGCCAAAAAGATATGGCAGATTTTTGAAAGGACACTAAAACTGCCATCTGTCACCATCTTAGATTCTTGTATTTTCTGAACTCTTTCCCACAGATCTTTCCATCCCTTAGTTTTCTGCAGCACAGGAAGGCTGTATTATAAGTAATTTATTCCCCTCATAATGGTTCTTTAACCTGTAGTGAAAAAAGGGCTTCTTTCTCTGAGATTCCCTAGCATTGAACAAAAAGATAATTAAATATAGTGTCTATCAGCTTTTTCTGAACTGTTCTCCACATTGTCCTGTCTGAATATTTTGAAATACTAATGGATCGTCTACCAACAGCAAACAAGATTCTAGTTGATCAGGTAAAGGTGATTATTTTCAAATTATAGTTCCAATAGTAAAATAGCATTAAGTTCAAGTACAATGGTTTTCTCAATAAAGTTTGGAAAAGTGATTGTTAATCTTATCACACATGCATTTGGTGTATGAAAAAATATCATTTTAAATCTCCCCAACAACACAACCTTAATATTTCACATCGGGAATTATTTTATATTCCAACAACAACAGTTTTAAAAACTATATCATCAGACAAAATACTGTAAATTCATAGCTCTTCAATTTTTCAAACAAGTGCTTTGTTCACTGGGAAATCTCCATGATAATTATACTCATTCCTAAAGAAATAGTTGATTTCATACCTGGAATTTCTCACCCCGATTCATCTGAGTTGATCGATATTCAGGAGAATCTATAAAGGCACATGGGTAAATATTATGCAGAAAATGTCCTCTATAGGAGACCTTCATTCTGATGATGAAAATAAGTATTACAATAATTGATAATATAGGCAGTAGAGCAAGCTAATTTCTAACAGAGTACAATTATTTCCAAATACATCAATTCACACAACTTCTGTCATCATAGGAAAAAACTTCACTGACTTTTACTAGTTAAAATTCTGGAACCCCCACAGTTCAGCTATTTTCCAAGAGGCGTGACACAATCTGCTGCTGAATCATATCCTACACTTAGATATCCCCTCCCCATCCTTCCCTCTTACTTGCATTAATTCTGTCTTGGTGCATGGTACATTTATATGGTTCATTATCATTCATCACGAATCATTACTAACCAATATTAAGCTAAGATTTCCCTGTTAGAATTAATGATGCATTAACATCAAGGCAGATGTAATGTAGCATTAGGAATAGCTGCATTGGGAGAAAGAGCAAATGAGGGAGAAAGTTATAAATTGGCAGATCAAGAGCAGAAGGAAGTAGAAGGATTCTGTACTGTTCTGCTTGGTTAACTTTAGTTTGGACTGAATCCTTGCCAAGCTTCTGTTTTTAGCTGTGGATAAGGCTTATTCCTGCTGGAGGAAAAAACCTGGGGAGAAGTATTGATGTTCCCAATATTAGTTTCTCAATCTCGATGTTACCAATATTGATGGGCTTAATTGAAGCTTTCCTGTTACCTAATAACCAAGGCAATTTTTCTACATGAAGTAAGTAAATAAATAAGCCACCAGGAATTTAGGAAAGCACAAGACTTCCCTCTGTCTCACTGTAACAAGGGGAAATGAATCATGAATCAAGTGACTTGAGCATTGTTACAAACATTTTTTGAGATTTAAAGAAATAAATTTCTTAAACATACAATTCCCAAAAGCTTAGACATTTAACTGAGAATCTATCAACAATCAAATTTTCTTAGAACCACATTGTTTGAAATCAGTAACATACGTATGATCACTGAAAGATAAGAATAAAACTTTGAATAGCAGTTATAGAAGATAGCAGCTGACAAGGGCTGCAAAGCACTAAAGAGATCATCAGATCTGTTAGTACTGCAAATCACCAGGAAATTCCAAAGCTGAAGGAGTAAAAAGAAGGTACAGGACTGGATCTAACTTTGCTTTGTTTCCCTAAAAAAATATTCTTACGCATGTGCTAAGCAGACTACTGTTTCTATGAAAGGGAAAGGAAAGAATCTTCACTAATTCTATTTATCCCCTTTAGCACCTAGTGCTGTTTCCATAATTCAGGGGATTCTCCAAATTTTTGGATTAGATTTTGGATGACTCTAAAGGAAAGGAGAAAGGGCGTTGGTACTTACCTGACACGCCCGTTCTCTTTGAGCTGTGAAGAGCATCCAGTAGTGGGAGATGCTTCAGTCTCTGCATGTCTAGGCTGGGCTTAATTTGTGGAACGCTCCTCCTCCTCCACGGGACTCCTCCCCAGCGTTCCCCAGTTTTGGCGAAGACGAGAGAAATAACCGCTCTCGTCCTCAATGCCCTAACAATTCGTTGGCCAAAACAGGACCCCACCAGATGGAAAAAAGGGTGGGGCTGGATGCTGGACGAGCAGAAGTGATCGTTACAAGGAAAACTACTTTATACATCAGAAATTGGAGACTTGACGATTTCAAGGGTTCGAAAGGGCCCTTAGTGAGTGCGACCAGGACCTTGTTAAGGTCCCAGGTGGGATAATGGTGTACCGCTAGAGGGCGTAAATTTGTGGCTCCTCGAAGGAAACTCCGTATGTGTGGATGATGGGAAAGAGATAGTAGACCTTCACAAGTGAGAACTGACGCCAAGGCCGCCACCTGTCTTTTCAAGGTATTAGGTGATAATCCCTTGTCAAGTCCCTCTTGCAAGAACTCTAGGATTTGAGCCACAGATGGAGAGATGGGATCAATTCGAGACTCGGTACACCGTTTGCAGAAACTGGACCATGTGGGTTGAGGGGCGTCTGGCGACTTGGATAGTGGCGATAACTCTGTTGGAAAACTTTTCGCTCTTCAGACAACCTCCACTCAACCTCCAGATGGTCAGGTGCAACCATTGAGGGTCCAGATGTTGAAGGGGTCCCTGGGTTAGCAAGACCCTGGCTGGCAGAATTCTCCATGGTGTTGATATGGATAGACTGCTGAGGTCTGCAAACCACAGCCATCTAGGCCAGTAAGGAGCAACTAGAAGTAGTTCCGCCCTCTTGTCTAGCAGTTTCTGGATGACCTTGGGAAGCAGTGGAAGTGGTGGGAATGCATACAGAAGTCCCGGGGGCCAATGACAGCGGAGCGAAAAGTTCTCCGCTCCTTGCGAGAGGTACCTGGAAAAAAATCTCGGGAGCTGAGTGTTGAGTGGGGAAGCGAACAGGTCCACCACCAGCTGTTCAAATGTCCTGACTGCCTCTTGAAACAGGGTTGGATGGAGGCGCCACTCCAACTGATCAATCGTGGCCCTGCTTAGCCAGTCTGCCTGTGTATTCGACAGACCCGAAATGTGCTCTGCTCTGATTGAAAGTAGGTTGCTCTCCGCCCAACGACACAAGCGCTCCGCTTCTCACATGAGATGTTTCGGCTGTGTGCCCCCCTGTTTGTTTATATGAGCTTTGGCTGTTACGTTGTCGGTCAATATTAGTATGTGCTGATTGCGTACCTGTGGAAGGAAGCTGCGGAGAGCCAGGTGTACTGCTCAAAGCTCCAGCCAGTTTATGCTGCACGACTGTTCTATGGCGGACCAGCGGCCTTGGGTTGGGAGCGATTGAACGTGCGCTCCCCATCCAAACAGGCTGGCATCGGTGGTGATGGTAAGTCTGTGTGGCTCTTTGAAGAGGCAGCCTCGGTTGATGACTGGTCTGGTCCACCAGAGGAGAGATATGAGGACCTTTGATGGTACCTTGACCTTGTATTTGGAGTTGCTTCGGCTGGAGGGCTGGTACGGGAGCAGGAACCACTGGAGGGATCTAGTGTGGAGCCGGGCCCAAGGGATGATAGAGATACATGAGATCATCTTGCCTAACAATTTTGATAGTTCCGCTAGGGACACCCTCTTAAGACCCCTGATCTCGATTAATTGCTGAATGCTATTTAGTCTATCTGCTGCCTTCCACTGTAGTCTAACTTTGCCTTCCACTGTATCTATGACTGCCCCCAGATGGGTTAACCGAGTCGATGGTGTTAAATGACTCTTTTTCCAATTTATTGAGAACCCGTGTTGTTGTAGGGATTGTAATGTGTTCTGAGTATCTTTGACTGCTTGATGAGCAGAAGATGACAAAATCAAGATGTCATCAAGATAACACTGGAGTCGTATGGGGATATCACGGAGATGAGCAGCTAGTGCTGCGAGAACCTTTATGAAAGTCCTGGGGGCAGAAGCTAGTCCGAAAGGAAGGGCCACATATTCAAAATGGTGGTTATTATAACAGAATCTCAGAAATTTATAGTGGGAAAGCCGAATAGCAATATGTAGGTATGCCTCCGTCAGGTCTATGGACGTGAGGACGTCACCCTTTCTGATGCCAAGTAAGATAGATTGCAGGGTGTGCATTTTAAACTTGTGATATACTAAGAAACGGTTGAGACGTTTCAGATCCAATATTGCTCTCCACCCCCCTGAACTTTTGGAAACAACAAAAAGATGTGAATAGAAACCTCGCCCTCATTGGTTGGTGGCTACTGGCTGGATGGCTCATATGTCCAGTAGGTGTTGGATAGCTGTTTCCATGAGAACCGGGTCTCTGGAGAGAGGGCATGACATGAAAAAATCTGGGAGAGTGGATTGAAACTCTAGCCCAAGGCCAAATCTAACTGTGTCTCTGACCCAGGAATCAGAGGTTGAGGAGTCCCATTGGTCCGCGAATAATTTAAGGCATCTACTAATGGGGGTTGGGTCCAGGGAGTTATCTTGGATGCCGAAAGGACCTGTTTCCTGCTCCCCGAAAGGATCTCTTGGATTGACCACCCCTTCTGCTCCTATCCCCGAAGTCGGACCTGTCTGGCTGCTGCACTGGTCTGAATGATGGGGGTCTCTGGTATCTGGGTAAAAAGAATCCCTGGTAAAAGGACCGAAAGGATCCCCTCCGAAAGGACTGAGGGTTTCTAGAATCTGACTTCCGAAAAAGGGAAGGAAGAATTTTGTTTTTGTTTCGGGTTTCAATTAGTAGCGGATCAAGGGAAGGGCCAAACAGTCTGTCTCCCACAATTGGGAATGAAGACAGCTTGCATTTGTGCTTAAAGTTCGCTTGACAATGTTTTAACCATAGTAAGCGTCGCGCTGTGACATGTGAAGTAATGGCCCTGGTTGAAAACTTGACTGCATGATAAGTTGCGTCAGCTGAGAATTCAGCAGCTGCTGTAAGTTTAGCAATATCTTGGTACGCTCTAAGGTTGGAATTAGGGACATGTTCCCGTAAGAGGCGGAGCCATCTGAGAAGAACGGGTGAAGGAGGCGGCCGTGGCTGCTCTGATGGCCCACGCGTCAGACTGATGGGCTCTGTGTAGGGCTAGCTCGGTCCGTTTTTCCTCCAGCTTTAATGCCTCCAGCGCATCACTGGGAATGGAGGAGGATGCTAATCCCACTATAGGTTCATCTACCTCGGGAATATTCAATAATTTTGAGAAATCAGGGGCCAAATTGAAATATTTCCTGTCATATCCAGTGGGGGCTGGGTACACCGCTGCAGAGGCCCACTGTTTCTGTACCAGGTCTGAAAACATGGGAGGAACTGGGATCACCTCTGCTTTGACTACTGGTTGGTTGAAAATTAGATCTTCTGGTCCCTCTTCCGAAGGAGTTGGAGTGGTAGAAGGGGTCGACTTGTTTAGACGTGCAATATTTTTTGAAGCACTTCCCACTACTGGATGCTTTGAACAGCTCCTGGGAGAATTAGTGAGGCAACTTCTACAGCAGAATTCTTCCATTAGCTAGAAAGAGCTCTCCTGTCCAGGGATGCAGGTGGGTGGGTAGATTTTTGATCTAACTAGCTTATATTTAGGTCTATCATACCTGACCTATAAAAATCCAAATGAGCACAAATGGGCAGCAAAGCTATACTGAAAATTCCTTGCTGCCATCTAGTGGTTGTCTGGATTTGTGCAGACCAGATCTGGTAGCCTTACCTATCTCTTTCAGATCGAGCGTGCATTTTTCATACAGTCCAACTATATAAAGGGGAGATCCAGACCCAGTTATTTCAGACACATACTTTCCTTTTAGTAGAATACTTAATCGATCATCCACTGACGTTTTATCTTCTGCAGCATATGCTTGACCTGTTTTTAAAGTCTGAATATCGCAGAACTGTCCTGTCAATCTTTGGAATAGCTCTGGAGGAACATGGAGTGGTTCAAACATTCTCTTGTACAGGCTACTGAGCTCTTTATTTATTTTTATCTAGAAGACAATAGTGAAGAAATATTACAAACATTAGAAATGCAGAAGAAGTGGTTTTAAGACATGATCGTTTCAGTTAAAACCTTCCAAGAATATCATTGCTGGCAAAAAAATAAATAAAAGTTTACAGTTCATTTGTTTACCTAATACTGCTTTTTATGTTGTCAAAAGTTAAAACTATTTATGAGTACAAATCAAAATTGCATGGTAAAATACAATATAAAATCCCATTCAATAAAGAAGAGGAAAAACATAAACAAAACTAGCTAATCATAACATTTTCAGTCAAAGAAACCCCAGAGGAAGAATTGTCTTCATCAGGCATCTAAAAGACACATTAACAGGTGTCACAGATTGGGGGTAGCAGGAGAGGAAGAAAAGGAAATTCTGGAGTGCAGCTGTCAGTTGCTTTTGTAACTACGAGATGACATTGTCAGTCACTGATGATCGTAGTGATTGTTCAGATTTGAAACAGGATATTAAATATCCTGGTACTGATTTGTTTAGTGACAGAAGCATGAACTTGGCTTGATAAATTGACATTCATTGTGTGTATGAGATGTCCTACTCAGAATGCTGATTGGATTTTACCATACATTCTGCAGTTCCTAGGCCCAAGGAAGCCACACATAGAATGTTATCTAATCTAATAAAGCTATCAGTGTGTGTTCAATAATAGAACAGCTGTTATTATATCTAAGAGACTATGTAATTAACATTCCAACTAATTTTGATAATAGATGTTCCTGAGCACAAAATTACTTGGGCCTCTGAAATCTATAACTCTAGAGGCTCCCCAAAAGCACTTTCCTGTTCTTTCAGAAGCATCACCACTCTATTCTGAACACAAAAATCATTCTGGAGTCCTTGGTACTGTTTGAACTTAGTTGTTTGCTTGCTGATGTTTCATTACTTAACTAGATGCTGATGATGTTACCTAGTTTGGTAATGGAACGTCTGCAAGTAAACAATCCAACTCAGGGATACCTAGGATCCCATAGTTCAACCCAACTCAAAGATGACAAGGATCCCATAGTTCACGGGTGTCAAACTTGCAGTGTCACGTTTCTGTCACATGATGTATCGTGATGTTTTCCTTTGTGGAGCTGGGGTGGGCGTGCCAGTTTGACACCACTGCATAGTTCAATCCTGAATACACACACACACACACACACACACACACCCACACTCACTCTTCTATTGAAATAAAGATCCTCAAATTCCTGTACTTAGGAACCACACAGAATATTACTGTTGTTTCAGATTTAGCGCTGGATTATTGACTTTCATCTAACCCATAACAACATCAGTTTTTCAGAATATGTATAACCACAACTTAATAAAATATTATTGGCAAAAGAAATCATCCCAAAACTCTCTGATGATTATTATCCCTAGGGACTTCATATAGTTGTCCCAGGAGCATTGGGACAAAATAGTGCATTTTTGCCACAGCCAACTTCCAAGGTACACAATCCTGTTTCAGTTTAATTTGAACTATTGTAATGCAATGTCTCCAAGCTTCAACTCCAGCAGCACAAATAATTGTCTTCATTTTTCCCTCACAAAATCATTATACCATCACTACTATAAGTCATTGGCTCCCAAAGAATAATCCAGGTGTCATAAATCTTTCATAAATTTTCATGGCAACATGTAACCCAGTTATATAGAAGCCACCCTTTCTATACATAGCCACCCAGCATTGCCTTGTGATGAGATGGGAGGACAATAAATTTAATAAATAAAACAGAGCATGGCAGTTACACATTTTAATCTGACAACTTTAGGTTTAGGATTCATTCAAAGTTTATTCCAATCTGTTCAGTTATCTATAATTACCAACTGACAGCCATTTAGTTTTCACAAATTATTATTTACAAATAGCTTTGTGATGATAATCTTTTCTCCCCTCCCCCCCCACCATGGAGGATTATGTTACTGCTCATCCAATCAATATTATCTTTCCTTAATATGCCCTTTAGCAAATAAAATTAAGCCTATTTATTTTCATGATAGAATAACAAAATATATAGAACGGTAAGGAAATTTTTAAAAAGACAAGAGACTAAATTATAAAATTCAAATTTATTAAAATAATTTCTTTTCCCCATATGTGTAGACTCTAAACTACACGGACTTTAATGACAAAGGGGAGAAATGCTAGTTCCCTTTTGTCAACCGATGTCGTTGCTGAAAGTTGCAGTTCTGTTTTGGTTAATTGTGTGAGGTTATGGGTCAAAAATTATTCAAAACAATTATATTTTCAAAAATAAATGTTCCAGTCTGATATTGCAGCCACAGCTGTAAGCAGACAATATAAATATAGTTAAGCAGAAACATTATCTTATTAGCTGGGAATCTGAGAATAATAAATACCTTTCAAATTGTTGTAAGAAAATAGTATGCATGAACAAGTTAGTTCTATATAGTATTGTATATTATTACTCCATTCTTTTTGTCCTTTACTTAAAGTAATCTAAAATCCCTGAAAATGATTAAAGATACCAAACTGTTGTATAGTCCAAGGCTTGGCTTTTACAATGATCAAACAGACCCTCCTGGGAAGTCCATAAGTAGGACATGAGTATTTTAGCACCTTCCCACTCATGTTCTCTAGTATTGGGTGCTAAAACATATATTAACCTTGAAACTAAATGCAGTGTATCATCATTATTACCAGCCACTTATAGCTTCATCCTCCCCGACTTGTACACACCAATCCTTTGCGTTTGTTTGTTTTTAATTTCCAATATATTGTTGATCTCTGCAACTTGCAATAATAAATTCTATAGATTAATTATTCACTTCATGAAGTAGTATTTCATGAATCATTCACTCCCAAACTTTGCATGATTCCAATTTCTAATTATCTGCTTTCTCCCCTCAGGCATTCATTCTCCTTTTACTCAGACCTTTTTTTTGCAAACCAATGAAAACTTGCAGACTGGGTTCAGATAATATGCTTAATCGTAATCTTAATAAGTCTCCTTGTCTTTTCAAAAATAAAAACCATTTTTGATACAACTATGACCTGGATGACTGAGAATCTTCATAGGCATATTACTAAATGAGTCTAATTCATGATTTCACACAATGCATTGAAGTGGCTAGGCTTAAACTACTGAAAACAGAAACCAAGGTATGATTAAGACAAATGAAGCTACAGAGATTGTAAAAATGCAGCTACTTGAGAAGGGTAGGGTGAACATCTTTTCCAACTGGACATCCTTTGGGAAGTTCACTGTCAGAATTACACAACATACTAGCACAGAGAAATTATTACAGCGATGGATTAGAAATGGGGATATCCATGTGCAAATCCATTCTCAACTACTGAAACCCTATTGTATAATTTGGGGGCTGTTATTCTTGCTCAGCCTAACCTACCTCATAGCGTTCTTGCTGTGAGGTAAAGCTGTGAGGAAAACCTGGAGATGCGAGTGCCTAAGCTCCAAAAGGGAAGGTGGGATAGAAATCTAAAGAAAAAAACATTCCAAGTGGGATGTATATTTTGGGGCTTATGTTTTTATTGTGTTATTCCCTCGTAATTTACACATCAGCAAAGAACTTGGGATGCGTTGTCTGAAATATGCACCATTGTACATCTCCCTGCATTGAATTACTTTGGTTTCTTTAATGCTGATAAACTTTTAGAAATTCTCTTCAGGCCCTGATCTCTGTCTTGACCCATACCATCTTAAATCCACATAATTCCACTAATGTTCTTAAAAAGTCAGGTGAGGAAGCTAGACTAGTGGCCACCAAGATAATCCGTGTGGGCACACTAGACTTCCTGCCCCACTTGGAGATCCTGCTTGCCGCAGTCGTACAACATCCTGTATCACAACATGTTGTGATGGAATGTAAAGGCTGTCTGATTCACATAGTATATCAAAACAGTGAAGTCCGTGAGATGAAGGCCAAACTGACAAAGTCTTTCAATTCAATAGCCAGAACACTATGCCTTATCTTATCTGAAAACATAGGCAGGCAGAGCAGAGATCGATTAATCTGTCAGAAAAGCAGAAAATGGTCATAAAAGAAAGCAAAAATAATATAGCATTGAGCCAGATAAATAAGGATGGAAGCTTTAATGGAGGTACATGGAGCCTCAAGTGGAGAAGGTGGTCTTGGGCCTATTCTTAATTAATTTACCTCTATATCAACAAGAAATAATCTGAATTTTAGTAAGGAAAATAGATAAAATGGAGATGTATGCTCTGTAGGGAGGGGGAAAAGAGCTTTGTCCTTGAGATTAAAAGAGCAATGTTTTCACCAATATAAGATCTTTCAGGCAGCCCTTCCCTCCCCCGACAATAGGATTTGTCTGGAAGATTGAAATAAACCCTACAGCAGATAACCGTGGTTTCTATTGTGTACCGGCTCCTCCAGGAACGGTGCCTCAGAGCAGCTGCACTTAGAAAGAAGTGTTGTAAAAGGACAGCTCTGCTGACCACAGAGGAAATCTTTTCAGCGATGAATGGAGCAAATATCATGCATCTCTGCATATGATAAACCAGGCATATGCCTCAATCAACCGCAAAGGCATCTGCACCTTTTTCTGACAGCAGCATTTCTTCTGCAGTACGTGATAAGCAAAGCTCTGGAAGTGACAAGGACAAAGATTACTTTTTTAAACCATTCACCAGCCAGTAAAACATCTTCCCCCTCCTCCATTTCTAAGATTATGAGGATGAGCTTGCAATATATTACTAGGCAAAGGGACAACTTCCCTCTCAACTCACTTTATTACACTGATGCTCTTTTGATAGCAGATTCACCTATGAGTAAGAGAAAAACTAGAGGGCGTTGTACAACAGCCCATTTTGTGTAGCTTGCTCTTTAATTTTATTTCAATCAAGCTGTACACTACAAAATTTCTAGTTGGATGTTTGCTACAGATGACAAAAAAGCCTTAGTACAAAGGATGCTGGAATGCAGATGAACTACTGTCATCCAAAACTTACTACACATATGGGTTGTCATAGGTAGAAAAAAAGGCTGAGAGCTAGAAAAATTTGCAATAAGGTTCTCAAATATCTAGTCTGGAGACAGACAATCCTGCTTATTTTTACGCTTAGGGTTTACCTGGCTATTTCAAGAAAAAGAGTAATTGGATTGCATAGTGGAAAATAGCCCTGACAAGTTGTGAATGATCAGCGTCTTTCTCCTGATAGAATTATTTTTAAAGCAGTAAAAACTTTTGTCAGAGATCAGGGATAGAAATAATGTTGGCATATAATTCCTCCTCACTTAACAATCTAATAGAGAGTGGTCAAAGAACCTAAATATTAATTTTTAAAACTTCCTTTCTGTTTCACCAAGGGAAGTTTCCAATGAGTCAATGAGCCTCCTTTTACTCACTGGATTTGACCCAATATCTTGTGAAATTATATATCTAAATATGTTTATATCTATATCTATATATGATAGATAGAATGTTGAGATATTATATATATATATATATTATATGCATGCATGCATGTATATGTATGTATGTATAAAATTTATTTATTTACATGTTTGTCAAATAAAAGACAATTATGTATTTTAAAAATGTATTACTTCCACACTATACACAATGAAATATTTTAATATAAAGATAAAGTAAAGATAAAGTAAAAAATATTTTCTATGTATAAATCAGTGTACGTAAGAAATTCTGGTAAAGTAGACAGCGATGACTTTTTGCTAGCCAAATGTGAAATATACTAGATAAACATTTAAAGATACATCTCCTGAAAATAATTTATTTCCTATTTTTATGAAACTTTAATAGCATGATCGTCAGAGGTCATGACTTTCACCCCACCTCAGTGGGAGGAAGAGATACAAATATTATAAATAATGAAAAGGAAACCTTCATTGCAGTGGAGACATGACGAGGAAGAAGAGGAGGAAGAAGAGGAACAAATTATATCCTACTGAGAATTATGAACTGTGCTGAAAATAGAACCGATGTATAACAATGCTCTTATTAAAATATTATTATTGGATATATTATTATATATTATTAGTAGTAGTAGTATTTACTAAGAATATTTATTGATGCACAGGTCAGACCAAATAATGCCGTAGTTACAAATGTTGTCCAAAACAATAAGTTCAAAATATAACCAAACTATTTACTTAGAACAAATAACATATAATAACCATAAAATGATACAATAGAGTTCCACTGAAGTCCTGAATGTTTATTCTCACTTACTTATTAGGATTTATATGCTGCTCCATTCCCAAAGCACTGTAAGTGGCTTAGGAGCCCTCAAGAAGATTAAAAGCAAACAAAACAATATAATTAAATTACAAATGCAAAACTCTTGGCACTCAATATTTGCAGTTATATTCATCTTACACTAGGACCACAGGCTATGTAAATGAAAACCTGGAGAGATAAGTACTAAAAGCACAGTTATTAATAAATATTAATAACCTCTTGCACTTTTTTTGGCAGTGACAATACATTAGCCGAACAAGCCCATTTAAAAGCAAGACCCAATTCTTTTAAATAACTTCTTTATACATCTATCATTGATTTAGCAATGATGAACATACCGGCCTCCTCTTGTACAGCAAGAATATAAAATGCAGAAGATTGACAACAAGGAATACCATATTCCAGATTACCATATCCACCGCACAGCGAAAAAGGGCTGCCCAGATGATAAAAAGTACACACCCTGCCAAAAATAAAAGTGTGAAATTATTAGGCATACAACTTTGCCATTCCCAATCCAGAAAACTTAAGTATAGCAGAATATTGTGTTCAAACTTTTTATTTTCCATAGAACAATTTACCAAGAAATGACTAACAGTAATAAGAACAATGATGATTATGCCAGGAAAAAAATGCAAGTTATAGCATTATAGAAGAGTACTACCCACATTTGTCTGGAAGCACAATCAGAAATGAAATTATTCATTTATTTTTTTAATAGTATTTAAGGATTGGTTTTCCACACATATTCCAAAGCACTCTCCTGCTCCCAAAATCGAACAAAATCAAGCAGCAGGAATAGAGAAATAAATTTTATAAATATGTTATAATGGATTCTCATTACAGTAGATTGTAAAGGGTGCAACATTTGAGTCTAATGTTGCTTTCCTTACCCATTGTCAGCATAGCTCGTAGGACAATCATATGAAGATTAAACGTAGTTGGAATAACCAACCCAACTGCAAAACAAATATTGGCCATATGAAAAACCAGGTGATGGATCTCTCTCCAATTTTCACATACAGTTTCATTCAAAGGCACAGAGGTGGCATTTCTGAAGTCCAGGCCGAAGTTCAATGGGGCTGTGGTAATTGAGCTGGCTTCTATGACGTTCATCTTGAACTAGCCTGTTAGAAAGAAATATAGGTTGTACTTGCAGTGTGACTGAATATTCATCTTTTTGCAAGAGAATTGAATGGGGACAGATCCCGAAAGCTTGAAAAGTTATACACGGAACATGTTGAATGTTCGCTTCATATTTTTTTTTAAAAAAAGAAAACCAGATCTTGTATTTATCAGAATTAACTCAATCATGAATTGTATACTCTTATCTATGTCATTTTGCATACATAAAGTGTTCAACAAAGTAATGGGTATAGCTTTGGCACTCAAGTAACTGTCAGCAGAGAATACTTAAAATAAAGTTAGAATTCTGCTTGTCTCTCCCACACCTATCCAACTGCCATGTAGCTGTGACATTAAACAGCACTACTAAATATAGTACCTAATGCAGTGCTGAATAGAAGATAAGAAGCAAAAGAGTACACAATGCTTTAACAGCCAAGTTTTAAGGGCAACAAAAAATATTTAATTTTTAAATATAATAGGTTATACATTTGACTGTTCAGAAAACGGTCCAATATACATCTAGTCCGTGACATATGACCCAGTCAAAGCTAAAAAAAAATTTCTATATGCTGTAAATTTGTTAGTGATTCTCTCAACAGTTCTTTAGTTTGTGCATCCACACACGTGTATGTAATTTGTACTCAAGTGATGCTGGATACTCTAGCAGAATGCAACACATCTGCTGTCTGCATTTCATTTTGTGTTAATTTTTGATACATAAGCAGTTTTTGATGGACAACAACTTCAGTTGGAAAAATGTACTGTATGAAGTTCACAATTCCTTGAAGAGTTGGAAAAATTCTGACTGGGCAATGACCATAGGCTGAGTGTAGAAGATATATTTAACCTTTCTCTACATGTGTAGGGTGCTATTTTCAAATAGAAACTAAAAAAAGAGTACTTTTAATCAAGAAAATGGCTTACAGAAGAAAGTTAAACTTATTCAATGAAGCTTCTAGACAACTGCAAAACTCCCTGAGACTATTATAAAGGAAGAACCAACAATCAACAACCTCAGAAGTCATTCTACACATATACATCTGCTTCAGCCCTTGTATCCAGAAAAATAAAATAAACACAGCATGACTTACTTCACACTATGTCTGGATTCATGTTACTAAATCCTCATGTAGCATCATTCATTGGTTGAACCAGATCTTTAAAACCACACAGTAATATTTTTTTATGTTTACTAATTGCTACATGCAAATAGATGTTTTATTTTAAGGTGTTGCTCTGAAAGTGAAGCAAAAATAGGGACAGAAATAATATGTGAATTTCCAGCATCATAAAATATTGATTTCAATTTCACAGATATAGAGGCAGTTAGAAAAATATCCACTGGATATCATAATCTGTTTTATATCAGTGGGATCTTGGTTGTTCAAAGCAAATGTCCCTATGAAGAACTCAATAATTCTATACTAAAAAGGCAATCTGCATTTTACCTTTTTTTGTCGTATGATACAACACTGTCCAAGATTTTGCTAACATTGTGTATGGGCATTTAATGTGCATTTTAATATATGTTTGGTTAAAAAAGATGATTTAGTGTAGATATATGTGCATGCACATTTTCAAGTCAATATGCAGTTTTCTTGACATTTTCAGAAGGAGGTTGCCTGTTACCTTGTGGCCCAAGGTCACCCTCTTAGATGCCTAAGCAGGACTACAGGCTCACAGGTTTAGCCTGGTGCCCTAACCATCATGCCGCAACAGTTCTCTCAAGTATATTATTTTACAATACTATATACAATACAAAGCATTCTAGACCCTAGGCAAAGGATTATTACTTGAAGTATATAAACACTATTAAACATAATAGTATTTACTTGCTATTAAATTTTGTATTTCAAACATGGTGCCCAAATAAGCAACGAAACAGAGTAACGGGAAGATATCACGTTCCTTGTAGATAGCAATCTTGGAGGGGGAGGACTTAATTGGAAGAGTTAGGGTCATATCTGCCCATAACTGGACTGCCAAGTTATTGCAAGCTTTCATCATGCTGCACATACATAAAACATACACAATATTCAAGCCTCTCCCAACAAGGATGGGGATTGTATAAGGCTGTACTTTTTCTTCCTCTCAGAAAATTACTTCAGCTTCAAAATAATAATGAGGCTGGTATGGCTTGTGCTGAGCAATGAGGACTAGTTGTCTGTACATATTGAGCCAGGCCTGGGCAAGGTTTTGATTAGCCTTGACTTCTGTTTCAGATATAAAGACTCATTCAAAGTTGGTGGCACAGGGATACCTGACCATGCTCCCCCCCCCTTCAAGGTAGGACTCAAAACAATAAGATATTATATTGCCTTTTGCAATTAAATTCCAGTTTCCCCCACCCGGGATGACAAGAAGCTAGGATATATTTAAAAGCAGGCGAGAACCCTAAGAATCCTCTGTAATGTGCTTTGGGGTCCTTTTGAATGAGGGAGCCGGTGTCTCTCTGTGTGTGTGTTTGTTTGTTTGTTTGAGCTCCTGCAAACTGAACTCCAGTCACAACTCCACAACTCCAGGCATCCCACGGGTTATTTGCGCGAGCCTCTGCAGTTCTTACTCTAGGTCCCGACGTGAGAATCCAACGAGGCCGGTATAGAGGGCAGGTGCCAAGCGGTAGGCTAAGGCGGGAGATAGACAGGACTGGGGACACCCAACGGGCGAGGCTAACAAAGTGTCAGGTTCTGGGAAGCAGCGCACCCGCGTTAAAGGCAGTAAGCAGCCGAAACTCACCCGGACTAGATTTGCACGGGAACCTTACCTCCCTCCAACCCGGACCGCCGGCTCGTGAGTAGACCGGGTTGCGGAAAATGTCGCCGAGCCCTGCGCGTCCTCCCAGCTGCCTCAATTCTGCCTATCAAAACTGATCCGCCCCGCAGCTTCTTCTGGCCTCCGCGGGATCTTCTCCTACCTGCTTCCCTCCTCCTAGTCCCAGCCAGTCTTACCTCTTTGCGTCGCCGCTGCCAGGCTCCTTCTCCAGAGTTTCTACTGTTATACTCAAACGTGGCTGCCAGCACTGGCGCGCTCCTCATGGGAGCGCCTTGTGGCTCCGCTGCGCCCGCTAGAGGAGCCTGCGGGAAGCGCGCTCGCCGCCCGCGGAGCGGAGGTTTTGACTAAAATAGGCATCAAGCAGCCGCCAGTAGTAACTAGCGGGCGGCGCTAGCTCCCTCCCCGCGCTTGCAGCCCTCAGAAATCAACTGCGTAAGGGAGAACAGAGGCGCTTTTTTGGTGGGGGTGCGCTTTGCTCTTCCCGTCCCACCCGCGTAAAAGTTTTTGGGATTTGCTTGTCCGCCGGGGATGATCTCCAGTCGCCGCTAAAGCTATTCGGAATGTTACAATTCAAAAGCGACGCGGGGATTAAGTGCCCAAGGAGCAATACTAGGGCTTTGCGAACTTTCTCCCAAATGATTGGGGGGGAAAACCACTTCTGTTTATCCCGAGAGTACAAGGCACCCCGCTGGTGCTCATTGAAGCAGCTGCCTAGAATTTAAGGGCCTCCAATTTAGGGACTCGGAGTCTGAAGGAGCTTCTCTAACTTTCAAGTGTTTTTAAATTATTATTAGTATTATTAGTATTTGTTACAGGTTTATTTGGATTTCAAACAAGAGCGTTTCTTAAATTTAACCCTCACATGACCCTCATTCATTTTAGATTTGGCTTGTTTTTTTCATGCATTCACATCTTTTGTTCAAAGAGTATTTTTCTTTATCCGGTCATAGATTTGTAATGCATTTTAGTGGCATTGTTGCCAAGTTCACTCTTGTAACAGTCTGATGTTTTATTAACATTTGCCAAATAGAGCCTCTACAAATTCTCATACCTTGCCATGTCTAAATCCAGCGCTTTTTTCATAGGCTTCTGCAAGGAAAAAAAATACATGGCAACTAACTTTAAAGAGCCATTCATTTAAGGAATGAGATTTCAAAATCAGGGGCATCTTTTGGAGAGAGGTTGGCTGAAAAAAGCTTAACAAAGGATTTGCTTCTTTTAGGAATAATAAATAGTGTCTTGCTGTGCTCCTGCATGTCGGAAACATTTCTTCCCAATTAAAGCAAGTGCACAGTGCCAGTAATGAGATCTTTATGCATAAGCATACAGACACACATCTGGAATTAGACACCAGAGGGAACACATTCCAGGTAAGCCTAGGTAGTCCACTAGGAAGGAAGGAAGGAAGGAAGGAAGGAAGGAAGGAAGGAAGGAAGGAAGGAAGGAAGGAAGGAAGGAAGGAAATTAACATGCGTACCAAGAACCAAGATACTGTATTGCTCAAAAGATTAAAGATGCAAGAGGATGGCTTGATTAAGAAAAGGACTGATACAGTAGTAAAAGATAAAGAAGCAAATCTGACTCAAAAGTGAACAAAAATACTATCCTTGATCTCATACGTAGGAGTGCAAAGATCAGAGGATTGCTAGAGTTTTCTGTTTCTTTGCTGCCACTTAGCCATTATCCAAATATCTGCAGCCCAGATCTGGTAGCCTCTCACACCCAAAATTGAAAGGTGTATTTTGAGAGATTTAAAAATAAAATTGTTTTTAATGACTCCAGAAGTGCTGGTTGACAAAGCCGTTTCACTTAAATCGATGTTACTAATGCAACAGGAGTTGAAGTTTTCCTTAAATAATTAATAGTCTCCAGAAGGTCCCATCCACTGACTCAGTTCCTGCAGTATATCTCACTTGGCCACGGTTTGTTTAATGAAGTTCAGCTGTTATGTGAACATGTGCCATATATTATGTCATGCCAAAACATAATAATTTGGTACAGACCACTACTAAGCCATAAATCCAATCAAACAACCAGACTTAACAAGTTTCACACTTATTATAAATAGGAGATGCATCTTCTAACCCATTTCTAACTCCTTTTCCTCCAGTTATCTGATATATAAAAATACAGGTAATGTAAAGCAAGGGTGATCATGAAGAGGTAACTGCAGCATCTCTTACATTTTATCTTTTGAAAACATGATATTTCATATAATTTCCTGCAGCCTCAGCCTCCAGCACATTGGAAGTGCAACCTTTCTTTCAATTTAGCCTACTTCAAAGAATTGTTGTAAACTTAAGGTAGTGGAACCTAGCCATTTAAAAGAATGTGGAGTGTTTAGAATCCAAAAAATCAAGTGAGGGATGGGATGCAAATATTTTTACTACCGGTTCTGTGGGCATGGTTAGGTGAGAGAGGCTAGGTGTGCATGGCTATGAAACTGGGTGGGTGTGGCTTCTTTTTTTGTGTAGCATCCCTCCCCCTCCATTTTTTTGGCCTGCTGGGCCTCAGGGAAGCCTCCTAGGCGAAGCAGTAAGACAGCGAAGGTGATCCCAGCACAGCTGATAATCAAAACAGCTGATCACTGGAAGGGAAAAAAAAGAAATACTGGTTTCACTGAACTGGTAGCTGTTTTTTTTTACTACCGGTTCAGCCAAATGGTAGCATTTTTTACTACTGGTTCATGCGAACCGGGCCAAACTGTTGGAATCCCACCACTGAATCAAGTTCCAAAGCTCTCTTATTTATATGCATGTAAGCTTCTCAAAACAAATTTAAACTATTTAAATTTGTTCATGTTTCACAGTTTGGCCATATGGAGAGGACTGTCATGAAGATTTATGTGACAGAACCTGAAGGCCCCATGCTTTTAAAGTGTAAAAATAATTATTTCCTGAAAGCGCAAGAATTTTTAATGCATTCCACAAGCAATAAATATTAATTTGGTCTGTTGACTTACCTCTAACTTAGAATCTTCTTTATCCACTTCATGGTTTAAACAAGAGTGGTTATCACTTGTCACAGTCCTAGGAACAGTGGACCCAATCCATTGCCTGTCATCGCTGATGATATGAGAAATGAGTTATTCTATTAAAATGGGAAGTTGTCCGCTCCTGATTCATTTATCATTTTCAATTCTCCCCCTTTAGTGAGAAAGCTAGCAAAGCTGTTTCATAATTTTTCTGGAGAAATTACAAACCTTTCTTCAGATCCTGCTTTAAATTCATTTGCAGAAAGCATGTCCCTCCCCCCTTTCCAATTTCTCTTTAACTTAAATGAGCTATCTTGCTTTTTTCCATTGTGTGGAACAGAAGTGTGTGCACCATAGAGCTCAAATCAGATTTTTCCAAAAAAGGAAAAGCCATACACCTAATTAGCCATGTTTTAAACAGTATGAGGAGAGACGAATTCTTACTAATGTAAACACACGTGTAAAAGATGAACCTCATTCAAACTATGTGGGCCGTGAGGGAAAAAAAATAACCAAAAATTTCCTTCAAAAATATAGGGATTTTTTTTTTGTAGCACCAACTGAAGTTTTATAGTGTGTTTAAGTTTTCATTAGAACTCCAAATCAGACCAAATCAGGGGTGAAATTCAACCACCTTGGCCCACCCTGGGAGAGGTGTGGTACAGACTATTTGAATGGGTAAAACATTACCCCAGGTTGCTATTACTATTATGCCAAGCCATGTCAACAGCCACGCCCACAGAGCCAGTAGGGAAAAAATTTGAATTTCACCCCTAGACCAAATAGTTGTAAGTTAGGAAAAAGAGGTGGGGAAATGTGGTTCGTCTCTGAACTATGTCAACATCCTATTACAGGATTGGAACCTGAACAGTTTCCAGAAATGCAAGCTGAGTTTTATTGATATTGGGGGACCTTTCTCAAAACTCATTGAGAAGAAACAAAAGATTCAGTCCTTCATTTTGAAAAATATAACTTCAGGTTAATAGAATAGAATAAAATGATTTCCATCTTTGGAAATACATAGATTTAATGACCAGTGGAAACAAAATGTCAACTCATAAAACATTTCTATGCCTGCTTTAGGGCAACTGCCAGAATCCTGACACAAATGTCAGTCAGTTGGAGATTATTTAAGTCTTCAGTCTGATTAAAGACTTAAGCAACTTTTTGGGCCAAGATACATTGGGATTCCAAGAGTATGTCGCAAGGTACCCTGTTTAAATTATGTATAATCTTTTGCCACTTCTCTGATGTCTTCTGTGTCATACAAATATTAGTGTCTACAGATATATTTTCTATGGCTGTACAAAACTTTGATGAGAAAACAGAACTGAAAGGCGATTCAATCAATTTATTTATTTGGATAGATTTGATGTCTGTATCTAATCGAGTGCATTTGAATCGGTTCAGTTATTTGAAGGTGACTTAAAGAGATTTGATAGATTTTCTGCAGAGTCCTAAGCACTATTGCAGCTTTTCTTCTATATGTACATAGCTGAATGGAGATGTTGAATGGTGTGATCGGGTCTTATTAGCAGCTGGTGAATGATTTTCATCACTTCTGCAAACACTATTACAGCATTAAGAGAAGAAGCTTGTCCTTTTCACTAGGGACAGATTGCTTATTGCGTGAACAAATTTGCAGTAGTATGCTTGCTGCTGAGTAATTATGAATATGAAACATATTAGTATGATACAGAATCATACTAATACAGGGAGCCCTCAACTTACAACAGTTCTTTTAGTGACTGTTCAAAGTTACAACAGCTCAGAAAAATGTGACTTATGACCGTTATTCACAGTTACGACCTTTGCAGCATTTCCATGTTCATTTGATCAAAATTCAGTTGCTTGGCAATTGGTTCATATTTATGACTGTTGCTCTTTCCCAAGGTCATGTGATCACTTTTTGCAACCTTTTGATAAGCAAAAAAAATCAATGGGGAAGCCAGATTTACTTAACAACCAAATCACTAACTTATCAACTGCAGTGATTCACTAAACTGCTGTGGCAAGGAAGGTCGTAAAATGGGGCAAAACTCACTTAACAAATGTCTCACTTAACAACAGAAATTTTGGGCTCAATTGTGGTCATAAGTCAAGGACTACCTGTAATATTATATATTAAGCACACAACCATAGTGAGTTGCTTCTTAAATTTTTGAAAAAACTTTCTTCATACCTTCTGACTGCCTTGAAAGATTACAGAATATCTTTTTAAAAAGTAGCACATAGAAATCCTAGAATATACAGTTGAAGCATTAATTTTCTTTAAACTGGCCATCATATGCTGTTGCATTCATCCCATTTGGCCTCAGAATGAAACAGCTGTAGATGTTCATTGTTATCCTTTATAGATTATCTTTATTGAACTGAAACTCTTAATAGATTTAAATCTGCTTCTTAGAGGTTGTAGGGCAATCTGTTGTTTATAAACATGGCATAAACCCCACACTCATTCACATTGATGTTGTTATCTAGTTGGGTAATGAAATGTCTGCAAGCAAATGATGAAGTTCAGAGAGCACCAAAGACTCACAGTTCAACTCTTAAGTTATATATATTGTCTTCTAGTAGATGCAGATGAAACTGAACCATGCTTTTCATATTTTGAATTCAGACCAGATCTTGGCTGACATATGCGTCACTGGTTATGATATTTCCCATCCCCATATCTCACTAATTTGATTATATAACAGAATCTGGATTTTTTTTTAATATTCTTCCTGTAGATGTATTTCACCATAGCTGTTTGTTTGTATTTTCCATCATGCCTTTTGCATTAAAACAATAAACCTTGAAGCTTGTATAAAAAGTAGGATATATGTATTTTAGAATAAACATTAATAGTAATCTGTTATTCACAAACATTTAGTAATTATTCCTATTTTTCCATTAATTATCAAAGCTTATGAAGGTAACAGCAAGGAAGTAACCTATTAAAATGGTAATCTACATCAGAGGGAATACAATATTCATTGAATATCACAAATAACAACTTGTGTGCAGAAAGGATCACTGTATTTCATTAATGAAAAGTAGCCATTAAATTGAAATGTTTATAGGCTTTTTTTGAGCATGCTGTTTATCTGTTTTGCGTTTTCCATTAGTAAAAGATGAAAATGTTACTTTATACAAACATCAAATGTGTAATAACACAGAATAAACAGTATTTTCACTCAATTCCTTTGCTTGACTAATGTGTCTGAATGTTTCTCTCCTCTCACCTGCCCTGTGTATTTACAGGCACATTTGCTACATTGGGGGAAAACTAAACAAGCAGTAGTCCTTTGTCCACATGGCTCCATATCTATAGGCATGATAGATCTACAGATTGCCTTTTACATATATATGCTAGATGTTAATGGTAGTACATTAGACATTCTTCACAAACTGTAAATTGAAATTAAACAATTACATTTTAGAATCTCATATATGTATGTATTTGCATGGACAACCTAGTGGATGCAGAATATTTATTGGATTGCTGACCATATAAAAGCTTTTATATATACATTACTACTAAATATATCTGCTGGTAGCAACTTATTTAACGCATTTTCAAATTATTAAAAACTATTTCTAAAACCTTCTGGCATTCCATAAAGTCAAACTATTCTAAAATGCTAAGAAAATACATGTTTCTGCTAAAATTTAAATATTTGTAAAGTACACATCTGTACAATATTGGACAAGTACATTTAGAATAGGAAATATAAATTGTTTCAGTTCTTTTAAACTTTTTATATATAAATCATCATTTTCTAAGCTTCCCCTGAGTATAAGCAACAAAAATATAAGACAATAATATAGTAAATTTCACTCCAAATTCATTGTGATTCTTTATTATCAATATTGCAACTACTCCTAATTGAATCTAATGTATTAGGTTTGAATTAATTGTCCTATAATTTCTGTTTTTATAAATAATGTAGTGACAGACCAGAATAAATCCAAAATGGAACAGCAACACACCACACCATTACTAATCTACTAAATAAAATAAATAGAAAACACAAACTTGTGGTTAGCCAAGAATCAGGCAGATCAAGCAAAGTGCCAGATAATAGATTCTGGAATCTTTCACAGCATAAGAGTTCAGAATCTATTTTCTGGTTTTTGAACATGATTTTTTAAAAAATAACGGCATTTGTCCTAGTTGTTCCCTCACAGAAATAACAGCATTATAATATAGCTTGTGCTTTGAGGAGCAAAGAATTATAGATTTTCCATAAAGTATTCCTAAAAATACAGAAGCTTTATATCAGTTAGTCAGATGGGAAAGAATGTGTACTTTTCTTCCTTTAGAGAGGTTAATCCCAAGATTATACAATGCAGCTGATATTAATAAAGGAGAATATTTGTAACTCAGGGTTAAAGTGAAGGATCCTTGGTGCTCTCTAAGCTTGCAAACTGTATTAGCACTGATGGTGTAACCTCGTTTGGTTAATGAAATATCTGCAAGAAAACAACCAGGCTCAGAGACATTATTCAGTCCTGAAAAATGAGTAAAATTACACCATTTTCTATATAATGGCCATGTGTTTTCAATTGTTACAGTATTATTTTTCTAGTTGATTTTGCATATAAAATGGCATAATAAACTAGTATTGCTGTCTAAAAAAATCAACACTAGCCAACTTATGAAGAATGAAGGACCTTTTAATATTCCCCAAGCTTTGAATCAATCTAAAATGTCAGCTGGTATTTTTGGTCTCAGCTGAGGCAACCTGATTGAGGTATACATAATTATGCATGGTGCAGATGAAGTAGACAAGTAGCTGTTTTCCCTTCCCCCAAATTCTAGAACCACTCAATGAAACTGAGTCCTGGAAGAATCAGGATAGACAAAAAAGAAATTTTTAACATAAAGCATAATTTGGAATTTGCCACAGTGTGATGTGCTGGCATTCCGCTTGGCTAGCCTCAAAAGAGTTGGACCAATTCATGGAAGTTCATGGGATCAATGTCAATTAGCTTTGGTAGCAGCATGGCTATTCTGAGACTATCTACAGGAAGACCAGTGGACTTTCTTGTGCAGTGGCTTGACCACTGTGAAAACAGACCACTGAACTCGACGGGCCAATAGTTTGATCTAGTAGGGCACTGCTTATGTTCTTATGTACACTTCAAGTTCTTTCTCCTGTGCTCTTTCTTGTTGTACCAGTAGGTTTCAATAAATACAGAATTTTAAGTTATGAGGCAGAATATTTTTACAGTTGCCATACTTTTCGAGTGGTTATCTGTCAATACCTGGGATTAGCAACACCAGACTTTCTAGAATAACAGAGTTTTATTGTCATGTGATAACCTCTTGAAAAATACAGGTCTGTTGCTTAGATTCAAAATCTGAGATGAAATGATTCCTGTTATAAATCTCAAACTTTTCCTCAAAGTAGTTGCTGATACAAGTAATATTTTGATTTATGGGATTCCTAGAGAGTATTCCATGTTCCTGAGGTTAGTCTGATATGTTGTAGCAAAGGAAAGGAGACTGATTTGTTCGTATACATGTGCATTTTAGAGTTTTTATATACAGTAGTTGGTGCATTTATTGCCTTTGGAAACTCTCCATTTCTTTTTGACTAGGGGAAATCCCCCTCCCCCAATACTTGCCCTTTAAGAAATAATTCCCTTCCCATAACATTTCCATTGTTCTTAAAATATATACCCCATTCATCAAGATACTGTAGCTGCCTTCTGTGCCATTTAAATAATGGAACATTTTTATGCTACATAAATTGCAACATTTAAAGTGATTGATGCACTTTTTGAATTCTAAACGGTAATATTTATGTCTTTTGCTGTACATCCAAAAGCAATTTTGTACAATCCAAAAGTTTTTGATAGAAAGGAAGAAAGTGCCAAGTCTTCTTTCAGGTTGCTCAATTTTTTGTCACATGGGTCATCTACTGTAAATCTGCAGGCCAAGTTTATGCATTGTAATTATGCACAAGTGAACCAAGGTTCTTTTGAAAAAATGGCTTGATTGTTGCTCTTCTTTATGATAAAATAGCTTATATAATTCACCATGACAAGGAGATCTTAATAAGCAGGAAGAAAAGCTCTATGCAAATGATTTTTTGAAAACACAATAAAGAAAGTACAATTACAAGAAGTATCAAATAATGATTCATATCAGCCCCTATTCTCCCAAAGTAATAAGATGAGCAGAACAAGTCAACAGAAGTGAATCATAATGCACAATCTATGTGTACAATCTGCTGGTTCTAAACAGTGTGAAGAGTCCCACTAGATTGTCTGCAAGGAAAGAAAATGGCTTTTATTTTAAAATGGCCTTTTTGAGAGTCTTCACATGATACCATCGTAATACGTTTCACCATTTAATGGTGGTAAGAGGGCAAAATTATGTCATTTTGTAGTAAGAGGTATATTGTCTTTAATTTTATTGTTGTCTTGAATTGTTCTGAAAATGGTCTGCAGATTTTTTTTTTGGTGTGTTAGGTGCTGATACATGATAGAAATTTGGTAGCCGAATATCATATCGAAATCCTTTCCCTTGGCTCACTCTGTCGTTCAATGCATAGAGTTTATCAGCAATATCATTTCCAATCAGGATTGAAAACAGACGTGAGATGAATCGGTATTTTGCAAAGAGTAAATATAATTTTTTTCTCCTCCATGCCACATAATGACAATCTGTTTCGGCTGTGAGGGTTACCTGAAAGACATATTCCCAAGTATGGGGATGGGGAAAAAGAGAAATTGATATTTTTATCATTGTGCTTAAAAAACCCAAAATTAAAAATAAAACAAAAAACAAGACTCTTCCTTTTCTTGTACTGTACCCTTATCAATCAAAATTGCAAAATGGTTTATTCTTGACTTTCATTCTAACTCTTCTCCATTTATTAGCATTCTCTGCTACAAATATATTTATCTTGCTGGATAGGTTATAAGCTAGCTATTTTTACTGCATTTCTTTTTCAAAGACAAGTTTATTCAGAGCAGGTATATCCTTAATTTGGACATTCTATTAAAAGAACAGTACTTCTGGTAAACACAGAATTCATGCTGAATTTTACAGACACCTCTTCCCCTCAAATGAGCCATTAAAATGAAGGTTTATTTTGTTTGTTCTACTTACAGTGCTACCAGAGGACAAGCCTCTGAAATAGGGAGCTAAAAATCCAAAATATGAAAACAAAAGAGAAAAGAAATGCAAACAAGGAAGAGTTAAGGAAGAAAGATGCAATTTTTCCAGTTTACATGTACGTGGATTTAGTTAATTGATCAAGCTTTATAGAACTCCCATATACAAAAAAATTACCAGCAAAACACTCTCCAAGTACTAAAAAAAAGTTCATTGTTTAGATTTTTATTCCATGCTGTGTTTTTTCCCATTGGTAAATGTTTTAGATTTTTCTTGGCTCCCTTACTTTTGCCTCATGCCCATAACAAGTGCTGTCAGTGGACATTTCCCACCCTTGGCAGAATGGCAGGGAACTAAGGCGAGTGCCAAAGTCTTCACAGACCAAGTTGTTTTTTGAGTCTGGATCTAAAGGAGCATTCTCAGGAAGCTTCTCACTAAAGCATATGGTGCAACAATGGACAGAGGGGGACATACTTTACTTAGGCAGCAAAAAGTTCACTCACATGGAAGACTAATTTATGTGTGTGTGTGTGTGTGTGTGTGTGTGTGTGTGTGTTTTTAAGTTTTCGCAGGTACTTACATGTATGGTATTCAACTTTGTTCAGACGAACACAATACAGACGAACACAATACAGAAGCCTGATGATGGCAGATGAGATTCTGCCGAAAAGTTGCTACAACTTTAAAAGCACAACTATAATGACGCGGGAAAATACCCGAACAAAACTGAATACCGTATATATATAAGCTTTATAAGCTTTATGGTCTCCCCAAGATACACAAAGAAGGAACCCCACTTAGACCAATAGTCAGCTCCATAGGCTCACCTCTACAAAACCTAGCCAAATTTCTACAGCCCTATGCAGAATCCATCAACTCACACGTAAGAAACTCATTCCAGTTCATCGAGATCATAAAGAAAAAAAACTTACAACCCAGCGACCTACTAGTGAGCTTCAATGTCATATCTCTCTTCACCCAAGTGCCAATAAAAGAAGCCTTGACAGCCATCCAAAACAAATACAACACCCCAAGCACATCCTAGATCTGACCAATCACTGCCTATCCAACACATACTTCACCTACAATGGACAAAAATACTAACAAATAGAAGGAGCACCCATGGGATCACCCCTCTCACCTGTCATCGCAAACCTCTACATGGAGCACTTTGAAACACAACCTCTAGAAAAATATGATCACAAACCCAAACTCTGGCTCAGATATGTAGATGACACCTTCATAATCTGGCCAAATGGGAAAGAAAAACTGAACAACTTCTTCACACACCTCAACAGCCTACACCCCAAAATACAATTCACCATGGAAACAGAAGCTAACAATCAACTTCCCTTCCTAGATGTCTTAGTATACAAAAAATCCAATGGCTCCCTAGGATACACCATCTACCAGAAGAAAACACATACAAACCGCTATCTACACGCACTCTCACACCACCACCCAGCACAGATCAATTCCGTAGCCGAGACACTCATCTCCAGAACAAAATGCTTAGCCGACGAACAACACCTAAAAACCGAACTACACACTCTCACTAACGTACTAACAGCCAATGGATTCCAAAGAAAGAAGATTACCCATCTAATCCAAAAAGAAACCCCAACCAAAATCCAAGACAGAGAACAAGAGAATGGCAAAGCCCTCCTCCTATATATAAAAGGCACTACAGACAGAATCAGCAAGATCCTCCAAAAACACAACATTAAAACAGCATTTTGCACAAACAGAAAAATATCCACCATCCTAAGAAACCCTAAAGACAAAATTGAGTTAGAAAACCAAGGAGTATACGAAATCCCTTGCACCGCCTGCCCCACCACATACATCGGGCAAACTAACAGAAGAATAAGTGCATGCATTGAAGAACACAAGAACTCAATCAAAAAAGAAGAACCGACCTCTTTCCTGGTCCAACACCTCAAAGCCACAGGACATGAGATTGACTTTAAAAATACCAGAACTATCGCCAAAACCAAACACTTCAACAACAGAATAATCAGAGAAGCCATAGAGATAGAAAAACGCCCACACAGCATGAACAAACGAGATGACACCTCCCGCCTACCAGCCATTTGGAAACCCACCCTAATGAACAGACGAGTACCTAACATGAAGAATGACACCAGACCCACATCCACAAGGGCCACACAAGATGCTACCACCACACATCCACATAGAAAGCAGACTCACACCCACACAGAAGATGAGAACGACCATGGACCAGAAGCCGCACTGCAGCTGCATCACTACCCGCTTCAAACCCCTCCGACCCATACATGAAGCGAACTAACGCCCACCATGAAGATGTGGCATGACCACGAACACGAAGCCAAACAGCAGGATCACAACTCACCAGCTCAAATCCCCCAGCAACTAACCTGAGCACAACCAAGCCCCCACCTGAACAGAACACACCCCCAGCCAATCAGAACACAGCCAACCCCCCAACCAATCAGAACATAGCCAAACTCCCAACCAATGAGAACACACCCCTACCCAATGAGAACACAGCCAAGCCCCCACCCAATCAAGTTACACCCCCACTAGCAGTTAAAAGGAAGAAGCAACTGCAAGCTCACATTACTCTGAGAAGCACAGAGCCGAAGACACAAGCCTGAAGATGATGAATGAGACTTCATCGAAACGTCGCCTAGATACTTCCAATTTTACGCGGGAGAAAACCCAATAACCAAAGATCCACATACAAATACCCACGAGAACCTCAGAATATATATACAGAAGCCTGATGATGGCAGATGAGATTCTGCCGAAACGTTGCTACAACTTTAAAAGCACAACTACAATGATGTGGGAAAATACCCAAACAAAGCTGAATGCCATACATGTAAGTACCTGTGAAAACTTAAGAATGAATATATATATATATGTGTGTGTGTGTGTGTGTGTGTGTGTGTGTGTGTGTGTGTGTATAGTTATATATAGTTATATATATTTATATGTTGTTTCCTTTACCATCAAGAAAAAATATACACAAAAGAAAATTATACATTAAAAATCAGCAATTAAGCCTATAAAAACAATCATTTTAATTCCCCTGAAGGATGTCTGTATGTAAGTACTGTAGAGCTATGTGTTTATAAAAGAATATATTCAAACTCACCCAGACAAAACCCAGGTGAATGGACTGAAGTTGAAAATATTATCACAGTGAGCATCTGAAGAACAAAACTCCAAAGACTACGTGCCATTCAAGAGAAGGCTCCCTTCCTTGAAATTCCCATATGACCATTGACAGGTCCTGACATTCCTGATAAGGTCTCCCCTTATAGTCTTATCCTATTTGCCCAAATCAGTATTAGGAAAAGTGGTCTGCCAGTTAACTTAATGACCATCTTAGATGGCTTCATTATACCTGTTAAATGGCATTGGAACCAAATGCTACCGTTGCATGACACAACATAGCTGTTAAGGAAGAGTGGTATGATCACTCATTTTAAATTTCTGTAAACATTCCTACAAATAGGAATGAAACCATGACAAAACAATGATCCGATGCTCTTAAAGTCTTGGAGATGATTCACGGTTTCATTTTTGAATTAGATACTGCTATTCAAATCAGAAAGCCAGATTGATAAAGTGGTTAATTCACCCAGCTAGAAACTGTGAATTCTGTTTCTGCCTTAGGCATGAAGCCAGTTGAGTGACCATGACCCAGTCACTCTCCCTCAGCCCTAGGAAGAGGGCAGTGGCAAACTACTAATGAAAACCTATGGCACAAAAACTTGAGATGAGTCCAGGGAGTTCACAGAAGTCAACACTGACTTGGTGTGTGCGTGCACACAAACACACACACACACACACAGAGAGACAGACAGACAGACCAAGGCAGAGAGAAATTGGGGGGGGGGGGGGAACGAGACAAATTCAAACCAGGAACTATCTGACATATATACATTTCACATCTTCTCCTGCAGTCTTATATACTGAAATGTGACAGTCATCCCACAACCTAAAGCATGCTATGTATGGGCTAGTGATAATGAGAATATGTAATATAGTGACTGCAAATAATAGTCCTGTTTCCATTTATATCAGATTAGGAAAAAGCATCAAAAGAATAAATAAGGAAAGCTTTTAAAACATTCCTTTCAGAATCAGATATATTTACATGCAGTATTTATGATTACAAGCCTCAGTTCTTACAGGTAAGGGATTGTCTCTCTTTCAACTCCTGCCAACTGCCTCCTCTCCTTCATTTCTATCCTTTTGCAGGACAACGCATGCAGGTTAACTCAATGCAATAAATGTTATCCCCCACTGTTTCTTTAACATTATTTCCATTGACAAAAATGGGAACAATGTTGAAGAAACAGTGGAAAGGAATGCATGGAATTGTCCCAGGCAACTTATCCTTCAGAGAGTTGGTTGCAGTGCGTTGGCCATAGTGAGTTGTTCCATTCTGGTTGTGAGAAAGCTGTCACGTGTAACATTGGCAAAAAAGCCTTTGTGGCCAGCAGATGCCTGACAAAGGGACAGGACAGGCATGTTTGGTCAACAACAGAAGCAATGAATGGCAATTGTCAGCTAGTGTGTAGTGCAGGGGAGGGTGGTAAATAGGTGGGGAGTTGAAGTGTCCCCTATGATCCCAAGTATGAGTAGGCTGCAGGGGTATTTCAATGTTCATAACTTTGGACACTGGTCATAAGTCCCCCTGTGTTCAGTGCTGTTATAACTTCAAAAGATTGCTAAACAAATGGTCCTAATTTGAAGCAACCCTAATGCTAGAAAACTGGTTTTGTTGGCATTGCAAGCCAATCTAGACCCTGGATATTCCATTAATTACAGAGCTATTAATTCTGTTGCCAGCATTAACTGCTAATTCAAGTGGAAAGTACAGAGAAAATGTGTGATGCATGGAAAAGCTCACCCAAAAAGTGTTTCTTTTTCAAAATTATCGTGAACTAATATTTTGTTTAAACTTACACATACTTTACTCCACTGGAATTTTTATTAATTATCCTAGTATTTGGATGCTTCTTCAAAAAAAGTGATGTCAATACAAATTCTTAGAGATAGGTCTTAATCCTAAATTGGGTATTTCCTCGAGTATCCGTAGTTCAGTACTGGAAAAGGAGAATTTTATCTGATAGATTCATAGAAGTTCCCTACCTGAAAAATGCCATCTTCTGTGGGTCTTAATGAATCCCATTCAGGTGAATCCAGAAATTGAAGAGGGAAAATATAATGCAGAAATTCTCCATCCACCGTCACTCTAACTCTAACAAAACAGATCAATTTGTGTAAATAACTGCCAGCGAAGAAAAAGGAAAATAATGCCTCGGTTTATGTCAGGGTTGAAGAATGTTTAAATTTTGAGTAATTTATGCCATGTCAGTGGCATTAAAGATTTTAATGTCTTATATTGGAGGACCATAATTTTTACACTTAATATTTATATGCATTTACTAATAAAATGCATAAATTTATAGATTTTCAGTCCATACTAGCAAAAACATATGGAAAATGGCAATTTCTGACACACACATACCCAACCCCAGAAAATAATATCAAGTCACATCTTTCTTAATATTCTTGAATCTCCTTGGCAATTATCCAGTAAGTATTCAAGAAAAGCACAAACCCAGAGAGAAACAGACAACAGCAAACGTACAAAGCAGAAATCCTGGCCACAAGAAAAGAAAAGAAAAAAAAGTACACAGTTTCAAAGGCATTCATTCTGAGAGATAACAAGCCTGGCTTGTTGCTGCAGTGCCAGAAAGACAAAAATACCACAGAGGAACAATGAAAATGGTTAGCAGGACCATCAAGGATTTTCTATCTGTAATGTGCTACATGGATTATAATATATCCATTATGTGGAATTCACAGAATTCCTGAGAATAAGAAATGAGAGATTACAATAATTCAAATTCACATAGAGTAATCTTGTTAAGGGTTTTTAGATATAATCCTAAATAAAATTATCAATGTTTGGCAACCAGATTACCTGTACATTGGAAATAAGTTAAGTTCCTTCTGTTATAGTTGTGGAACTGCTAAATGTTTCTGTCTGACCACTATTGGAAACAGAGGGCTGGACTGTGAATCTTTCAGAACTGCACCCAGATCCTGTTTGTTCATAAACGTTCCATAAAATGAAACTACACAGGGCTGAGTTGTACCCCATCAAACTCTAATCTATTTTGAAAATTAAAATCTTTACTGTCTCTGTCCAAATATAAATCACTTCCATTCTGGCACAGACATGGTAAGGGTACATTTTAAGCCTTCAGGGTTTATGACACATAAACTAACCTGAGCTTATATTCAAATATCAGGTTCATCACTTTGATACAAAAAGTGTGAAGTTGGGGGTATCAATTGCACTAAATATATCAGCTAAAATATATACATTTTTCACTATCCCCAAACATTTTTTTTTTCATTTTAATATAATGTGGAAAGGTGAGGGTTGTGTTTTTTTTAACCATCGTCACGATTAGGAAATTCAGAATTAAAAAAAAACCTTAGAGATATGTATTTCAGATCAACCAGCAGTCTATTGGTCTATCTTCTATTATACTTTGTTGTCCTTTATGAAGCAATTAAAAACAAAATTAATCAATTATTTGAAAAGATTCAATATGCAGCGGATCCAAAGATGATCCCCATTCTGATTTTGGTACAAAACAAGGGGATATGGATATAGCTTCTATGTTCAACCTGCAGTTTCTCCAATGTTCCAGAACGTGGATGGAAGAAAGAAATTGGGATAAATGAAATGTTGCTGCATTAACTGATTTGACGATATAGCCCTCTAATGAAATTTAGGAGATTAAAATGAACACAGCCCTCATGTGAAACATACTGAATATGTTCCAAGAATAAGTGCTGGTCTCAAAGTCCTAGGTATACTTTGAGAAGAAATCCATTTTGTTTTGTTTTGAGAATTATGAAAATTAAACAAAGTTGTAACACAACACAAAAAATAGTAGAAATACGGGCTGGGGGAGCCCAGGTACAACAAGAAGATAAATCCTGCCACAATTAATGCTTTCTCACATATCCATGGTCTGATTTGTTTTAAACAGATTTGTTTTTAACAGCAGCTTGTTGACCTAGTGATGTTGTTTACACTTAGTATTAAACTGTCAAAACATTAAACATACTCTGTGTATTTTAAACAGGTTCAAACAATGCAAAGGAGGCCAAAGATCTGGTATTCTTCAACCTTTCGTTTCTAAAGAAAGAAGAAGGGATAAACATAATACAAACCTTCCTGACAAAAGTAAGGAGAGCTTGTCAATTGGAGTTTTGCCTTGCATGGCATAACAATGTTCCTTCTCTAATGTAATAACTTCTCCACCACAGCAGAGGACAATTTTTCTAAAAACAGGCAAGGAGATCCCCAAAGGCTGGAACAAAGCATTGTAAAGCTCCTGAAATTCTTTGTCGAAAGCAACACTCTGTATTTGGTAGGTTACATAAATAAACTGTATGAAGCAGATCACAAACAGGATAAAATTCCATGAGAAAATGTCAGCTGCACAGACATCCAGCCATGACCACACAGATGAGCAGAGAAAACCCAGCCCTAGCAGGAAGAAAATATAGAGCAGGCCAAAAAAGCCACTTCCGCCCATAAAGCCAACCACAAACAAAATGCTAGCTAAATGATAGATCGATCCTTCGGTTTCTGACTTCCAGTTCACGCAGATAGGGTGTGAAAATACCAAGCTGTTCCAAAAACTTGAGTTGCCTTCCATGGCTGCAATATCAAATTATTCACTGTCTCTGTAGTTTTGCATTTTTTGTCCTGAAGAGCTGCTTTCGCAAACATTCAGGCACTAAGGTAGTTTTTCTCTTTACAAATCCATACTCTTCCACATTGATTCTTGTTACTTTCACATCTTTCTGCCTAGGAAAAAGAAAGAAGAGGGTGAGAGAAGTACAACATCACAAAAATGCAGGGGAAGGTGGGGGGAGAGAGACAATACCAACCACATATTTGCATACTTAAAGGTATTTTCCTAATAGTTTCTTACAGGTGCAGGATCTATTTTGCAGAACAACTGAATGTTGATTCGTTGGATGTGACAGGAATTGACCAACCAACTTGTCACCTCAGCCTGAGATCATGGGCTGAGAGTGAGTGCCTGGTTTAAAGTTACCTGGATAGCTTTCATGCCTAAGACAGGACTAGAACTCCCAGTCTCCTGGTTTCTAGCCTGGTGCCTTAGCCACCAGGCCAAACTAGCTCTCAAATGCTTGCTTAAAGTGAAAGATTTAAATGCAGGTTTTTAATATTCACAGGAATGCTTCTTCTATGCAGTTTTCTATTCAGAACAACCCTGTTAATGGAAAAAGGGATGGACACTATTTTTTTTAATGTTTATCTCCTTCTAGAGAGCTATCCCCTACTGTTCCCAATTATCTAAAAAAGATTTTAGAGAGCATAGAAGATTGCAAGAAAAAGTGGAACTGATAAGTACTGTGGCACCTCACCAGAGAATCTTTCGTTAGATCAGGGCCTCATGTATACCAAAATAAGACCTCTTTTCTAGGTGACCATTTGTAGATCTAACCTCCTATTTTCAAGGACTAAGCAAATTAGAGTTTAATAGAAATTTAATTCATATTTATATTATTATGATTCATGCTTCTAGTATTTTCACTAAATATACCCTAAATATGAATACCACAAGTAAGGCGTGTCAAGCTGAATCACTCTTTCAAATGAACCATCATGGATGTAGATATACATGCAAAGTGTTCAGAATATAGTACAATATCTAAATGAATTATGCAGATTGCTGTTCTATAGTTTTATGCTTACATTTCTCTAATTTAATAGCAAAACGTTTTTTGAAACTGAGTAGAATTTCAATTACAGTTTGTGATATTGCAGTTTAGAATTCAAAATAAATACTACCATAATTATAAATAATCTAACGAGTATGTCATTTTTAAATAAATCTAAACTAGCTTTCCCTATATCATTTTTAAAAAATTGATCAAATTTAGAATGAACCACTCAAATTTGCCATCGCATGTCATGCAGATCTTGATTAGCGACAAGTTCAATAATAGATATCTGAGTTCCTTCAAATTATTACAATAAGAAAATACAACCTTGAACTCCAGTGAAAACAAGAGACCAGAAATAACAAAAGAGCAGAGCATGTACTCTTCCTCACAAGAATTAGACCAATCACTGAGGTCTTTCTGTGTGTTACCTTTATTTCTAACCCATCAAAATCAATATTATTTATCTAGCCAAGGACAGAATTATGCATTTGTGAAAGTCTGATGATCAGGTCCTCAACCAGACTGACAGCAGAATAGAGGAACTCAGCTTGATTTTCACTGAGTGCTAATCATTCTTGCATTCTTATGTATAATAGAGCTTTGTTATGTGATAATAAAATGTAAAATAATGAAATATGTCATACTGAAAAGGTTAGTACATAATAAGATGGATTAAACTAGCTTTTAAAACTTCTCTGTTATACAAATGAAATAAAATCAGGACAAATCTCTCCAAGGTAACTTTCAAGTCAAAACAATAATTGAGTACTATGGTATAGAGCAGGGATTTCCAACCATGGCAACTTTAAGACTTGTGGACTTCAACTCCCAGATGTCCACAAGTCTTAAAGTTGCCAAGGTTGGAGACCCCTGCTCTAGAGCACTGCAAATGAACCATTCCTCTCCCACCCCCCACCCCCAATGTGAAATGTTTATCTGGTTCTTTCAGAATGTATTTCCTAGAAATAATTGTTGAATTGTCAGGTTTTATCCTTATGCTACGAAAAATGCAACAACCCACTAGCTATCATTCTATCTCAATTGTGACAGTAAAAAAAGTTGTATGCAAAATGACACAGTAGGGAAGAAAATTTCCAACTCGCTTTTGGAACAATTAACATTTTAAATGCCCCAGAATGAGAGCAGATCTGTATGTCTCTTTTTTTATTAAAAAAACAAACAAACTTTTAGCTAATGTATGTCATTGGTGAGGCTTATTTTCTGACAACTACTCATGACAATATTGCTATCCAAATGCTGAGAGGTTTCCGCACTTCAGAGGTCTTATCACTAGAGGTCATAGAAACAGAAATTCAAAGAACATGGAAAATGTCAAATTCACATTTCTCAGGTGATAGGGTCGAATTCTATTATTAGTTTCTCAAAGCAGCAGTTAAAAGTAGGATTTGAGAAAATGTTAGCATATAAATCTCTGTACAATGAAGAAGTTTAGTACCATCTGATAGTGCATGTCAGTTCAATTGACAAGATGTATTATCAGTGTACGTTTTTAAAAACACTTTCTCTCATTTCTTGTTACTTTTATTAGTATTATTCCTTGACAAAAGATCTTCACTGTGAACCTCACTTTGAATAAAACCTTTCTCTTGGCTTGCTTTTCTTTTAGTAAATAAAGACATAGAAACAAGTAGAAATGCTGTACCAAATTAAAAAATATTTAATAAGAAGACAACACACAAAATGAAAAATAAAATCATTTTAAAGAGAGAATATAAAAATAAAATCAATCTTCCATTGGATAACTGAAACATTGTTTCAGTTACCCAATAGATTATAAAATATACCGTACATAATAAAAAATTTCCCAACCATCCAAGAACAGACAACCTGTAACCCTCAAGTCCTTCTTTCATAGCACTCACAACTCTCTCTGACCACAATTACTGAAAAATTAGGCCATTTTGTCCTGCCATTTTGAGGTAGGCAATAAATATAAATATAAGCCCTAAAATAGGCAAATCAGATTTAAAAACAAACCTCCAACTCCTCCCAAAATCCCAACTCAATTATTATATATAATATGGCCCACCTCACACTAAAGACCATAACTTCCCAAAATGCCATGTTGCTATGTTAAGTATAGCCCTTGACTATGAAAAGGTTGCTTCCTCTGCTTTAGAATAAGAAATACAACTGGATTTACTACTGTAGCACCATTAAGAGGAAGATGGGCAATTCAGAAATGTGAAATATAATAAATAAATAAACCAGAATCTCCATGTCAGAGTCCTGTCATGTCATGGTCAACTGAAGAACTATCAGTCAGTCAGTCTCTACCTACCTACCTACCTAGTGGTATCTATCATCCATCCACCTACCTATTTACCTACAGACAGCACCAAACATAACAGAAAAGGGAGATTATTTTGGTGGGACAATATCCCACTAAAAACATGCAAAATCCCTCACATCTTAACCTGAAGGAAGGCATGGATTAAAGAGAGACTATCAGAATTTCTGGAGGAAGGCTGTTCCAGAGGTCAAGTACCAGAACAGAGAAGGCACACATATTCTGTGTATTATGTTAGGGACTTGGATTCTGTCTCATATTGTAGCATAGGCAGAAACATCAGGAGAAAGATTAACTTCCAAAGAGCAAGGCACCAGGTAGCCTGCATAGCAGAGGTACTATATTGGCATACCATGGTATACCCATGGTAAGGTTAACAGCTTATGATGCTATATTTTGGATCAGGTGACACTTCCAAGGTTTATTCAAAAGCTGTTCTATGCAAAACATATTGCTGTAGTCCAGATGTGAGGTGGCCAAGCCATACCTAAGAACCGTCCTGCTTGGGTCATTCCAAGACACCTAGTCAGTAATTATAGGAAAGATATGAGGGACCTGACTGGACTCTGGTCTGATGCAATATAGCTTTTCTTTTATATTTAAATTCTCATTCTCAACTTCTTAATCTTCTTTTGTTTCATTTCATTTCTTTCTGTCATAGGGCGCACTGGTTCACATGGTAGATTAGGAAAAGAGAGACCTGGGTTTAGCCTATAGTTAGGCCTATGAGGAGAAATACAATGTAATGCTCTGTAATACTAAAAGGAAATATTTAAAAGGCAGATTAGTAGGTGGGATGGTTTAACCCTACTAGCAGATGGGAAAAGGGAAAAGAGAAAAGATGAAAATTCACATTTATGAAGTATCTTCTCACCCAATCCGAATTCTAATGCTAGACTGTGTACAGAAAAAAACCAGCATTTGGGGCAGGATTTGTAAGAGTCAGTTATGTTTTACACATATTCATTCCAACAGGCCTATTTAAACTTCCTATATTTATCATAGCAACTGTCAGATTTGGCCTTCATATTAATCAAGTCAATGCATAGTTTTAATATTTATTATTTATTAAATCCTTACCTTGCCTCTTTTCTTGCAGGACAAATAAGACACCTAGCGATTAGTTAACTCTTTCTTTCTCCATACATACACATGCATAAAAACAAACCTATAAAACAAACTAAAATTATTAGTGAAAGTCACATGAGATGATAGCACCAAGCAGTCCTCAGCTAATCTTAGAAAAGTCAAGCAGGATCATAACTAGATAGTGCTTGGCTAGGTTTCCAGAAATAAATTTTCCAAACCAGAGAATTCTCCAAACCAGAGGTAGGGATGAAAGAGGCCTATTTGGAGCTGGATCCATTCAGAAAATTGAACCCTATCAAAATGGCATGTTACAGACAGAAATGAACCATCTAGGGCAGGGGTCCCCAACCACCAGTCCGTGGATCATTTTTTACCGGGCCACAAAGCTTGGGCGCCGCCATCTTGTTTCAACAGCGCTTCTGGGTTTTCGGTTGCTTCCGGGTTTTTGGTTGGAAAACGGCATTTGGGTGCTTGTGCCTTAGTTTCATCGAGGGGGGGGGGCGGCTTCGAACGAAGAGCCGTCCCAATGGCAGTGGAGTCTCGCGTTACTCAGGTACCAGTCCATGGAAGAATAAATAATCGTGAAACCGGTCCCTGGTTCAAAAAAGGTTGGGGGCCACTGATCTAGGGTGCTACTATTTCCAGATCAGTGAACTGACTATGCATAATTACTAAAATTAGCCAAAATTGGCTGACTTCTGCCATCTTCTAAAGAAGCAAGGCTGGTTCACACAGTCTTACTATGCATCTAATTGCCAGGTGCAAATAACCAGGAACATTAATAGAATTCAAAGAGTTTATTATTGCTACAATAATATAATACACTAGAAAGTGATCAACTAATAGTTAAAGCTCAGTTTGCACTAGTTAAGGGTCCAAGGAACTCATGGGAGAGGGCTGGACTTGGGTTTCTTGTGGCAATGCAACACTTCCAAACTGATGATATGTTTAACCCTGCCTTCCAGCTCAGCATGCCCTTCTACACTAAGGTAAGAAAGAATAGTGATGAAAATTATGGGTGCTACATCACTGGAGGATTTTAAGAAGAGACTGGACAACCATTTGCCTGAAATGGTATAGGGTCTTCTGCTTGAGCAGGCAGTTGGTTAGAAGACCTCCAAGGTCCCTTCCAATGCTGTTATTCTATGTTTTAAAATAATGTGATTTACAGGGCTTATGGTATTTGTGTGTGTGCCTTAGACTTGGTGTTGATTTGTGGACAAATTCTCATACTTTTCTTGGCAAATGGCTTGCCACTGCCTTCTTACTACAGCTCAAAATGAATGATTAGGTCATCCTGCTGGCTTTGTGCTATATGGTCTCCTAATTTCTAGTCTAGCGCCTTAACCATTGACTTTTCACAAGGCTTATCAGTTCTCCCATATGATCTATTCCTGGATAATCAAATTTTACACACCTTTATCTGCCATAATGAAATGCTTGGATGGAGATTCACTTGGAAATCCCAGGGCTGTTGGCCAGATCAGGAAATTAAAAAAAGCATCCCAGGAGGCAATGACAAATCACTTCCATAATATTGCCAAGAAAACTGCATTTAAAACCTGCATGAAGCTCTGGTATTCAGTAGCCAAAAGTATGCAAAAAATTGGAAAACTGAAAGGGAAAAAATATGTTTTCAGAGAACTGTACATGTCCTCAAAATCCAGTGCCAAAGCAGAAAGATTTCCTTGCAAAGACAATAAAATCTCTAAAGATGACAACATTATCTTTTCCACCTCCCAAGTCTAGGCTGGTGCTAGACCAAAAGGCCAAGTGAATTGTACCGGGTGAAATCCACTCCACTAAGCCCATTCCATCAAAATAGCAAGAATACCTACCTTTTAGGCCCTCTCATTTTTAATTAATTCATGGATGGAAACAATCAAAGACTGACATGATATTTAAACATAGAACCACAAGACCAGAAGATAATCATCCCTTCATTTTTTATGCAAGTTACCTCACACCCATTGAGCATATTGTTAAGAATCATGGGACTCCAGATTTTAAACTGGTTCTAAAATTCAGTATTTACAAGAGTTATTGCACAGAATGAGCAATACAATTCTCAAAGAACAGCTCATTTTGAAAAATGTCTCTAAGGGCAAATTAACTATTTTCTGTTTCTTAACTTTGCCAACCATGTCTCCCTCTTCCTTTAAACCAGGGGAGGGGCAGGTCTTCGCAGTGATACTTCTGAAATTTGTAAAGAGAAAAGTAAAGAAAGTAGTAGAATACAGATTTTAGACCAAAAGATTACTCAACAGAAACTTTAAAGGACACAGAAAAAGACAATGGGATGTGATTCAAAGACCAAGTTGGATGCCCTATTTCAAACTTCATTTGAAAAGTAAAAAAGGAAATGATAGTGTATTAACTGAAATATTAATAACATGTTTATGAATTTGAATTACTTTTCTCCTACAAGGTAAAGACATCTTCAGGCAAAGTTCCTCCACTGGAGACTGGTTTACATGAGAACAATACCTAAGAAGCTTGGCATTGCCCTTTTCTGGGATGGTGTTAACAGTGTCCTGGTAAGCCAATAGTTTAGTTCTGCAAATTCAAAACAAAACAAAACCACATACACATACACATGTGTTTACATACAAATATATACATACACTCACATATACACATACATACAAATATATACTGGTATTTATATGAATGTACGTGTACACACACACACACTCCACCCACTTCTCTCATTGACTTTTCAAGATTAGTCAAGGCCAGTTAACCTATGTATATATAAATGTGTCTTTTAGTAAACTAACATATTAAAATTATGTTCACTAGCTCTCCTGTGCGCTTAAAAAAACAGCCACTAAGATTCACTTGCTTTTTCGGTTTCATGCCACAGTTCCGCTCCTTTCCTTGCACCACCAAGCCTCTTTCTATCTCTCTCAACAGACGGAAGGAACTGCGAGCAATTTCCTACCACCCCGTTCTCATTCCTGCGCCGTGGCAGCAGAGGATAGGGGAATTTGGTGCTCTGGCTATTCCGAGCGGTTTTCCAAATCGAAGAAGGAAAAAAACGAAACGGTGGAGCAGAAAAAATGTGGGGCGCCTCATAACAGGGAGGGACATCGACTCCGGTCCCGGACCAAGGCTGCACCCCGGATTTTTTTCTTTTCTTTTTTCTCACCTTGCGTGAGGAAATCACCATCGCGTGGAGCCGTCGGGCTTATCCTTGCAAAGTTTAGAAGGAGGGGGCTTCTAAAGAGCCTCGCGAGTCCTCTGAAGCACGAAGCCGAGCAGGATCCCCGGAGAGACAAACGGGGCAACTCAGCAGTGACTACGCGCTCCCACGTCGAAGTTAATTCTGCACGGTAGCCCCGAAAAGCAAGAAGAGCCACTTGGTTTCCTCCCTTCCCCCCCGCCCCCCGGTTCCTCTTACCTTCGCCAGCCTCCCTTGCGCGAAGTTTGCCAGCCGAATACCGGGGAGGCGCTGTAGTTTCCCCGCCGCCCCTTAGGCAGAGACGCCGAAGCTCTCCCTAAAAATAGGGAGCAAGCCAACTGCGGGCGGCGTCAGCTTCGGGGTCAACAGCGCGGCACAGGCGGGGTGGAGAAGGGCGACCCCCAGCGCGCAGGCGCCCCCTAGCAACACCGGCCGTCGCTGCCCTCAAGGCCGCGAAGTTGGGCGGCTCTGAGACTGAAGGGGGGGTGTTTCGAGCGCCCCGCAAGCTGCGCCTGAGGCGCGGTCTCGGGGGACAGCTAGCCCGCTGCTGAAGTGTTTGCCGCTTCGCTGGTCCGGCTTTTAAGCTCGGAATATTTGCATTTGTGGCAGGCATGCCTTTGCAGCCTCGCAGCTCCTTTCGCCCCTGTGTCTTGCGCCCCCGAGTTACATTTCCTCCGGCAGCTGTTCCTGCTCATTATTGTGGAAACGAAATGGCTGCAAACTCAAGAAGGCGGAGGTTTGTGGCCGCTGGGGTTTATCTGAGCTTGGAAGGATCCGGGGCTTCCCCTTTTGGGAGTCTTTTCACTCGGGGCCTCGAAGGTTATTTTCAGGTCCGGGTTCTGCTTTGGGATGTATGTGGAAAATGCGGGGCGAGAATAACTTTAGGCATGTGCAGAATGCTGCTGTATTTATCGCCGCGTTTGAGTTCCTAACCTCCTTGCTGCGCGTAGTCAGGCATACTTGGAGCAGCGTATGAACTTCGCTGAATTAAATATGTTTATTTGAGTAGGCATAACCTTGACAAACATTTGGAATCACCACTCCTTTTCAACTGAAAAGAAAGCCAAATTCTTCTCTTTTTCTCTCTTTTGTCCTGAAGTTCCACTCAGACACATCATTCTCCTCCAGTGGGCATTTTTGTATTTTGCTTTTGAAAAGCATTTTTATTTTACAAACAAACAAAAATCCCTTTGCCGTTTGAAACTCCCCCCCCCCCCAAGGTGTGGGGAATCCGATTTTGGAGACAGAAAGCTGAATGCCAGCTTTCATATAGAATGAAACTTTATTAAGGCAATAGTGTAATGGTAATGGTACTTTTTATCCTTGAAAAATATACAGAATAGGCTCCCGTGCTTGGCTGTCTCTGCAGATCTTTAACAAGGACATTTTGAAAAAGCTTTCAGTTTCTATCAGCACTAAGGAAATAATTTTTCAACCAGTTTGAAGTATTCACAAGAAAGGGATTTCAGAGACTGAAGCATCTCAGCAACTTTTAAATAGAAAGAAAAGGCTCTTCTGGATAAAATCAAAGAGAATATCTAGCCCAGCATCTTTTTTCCTTTAAGCTGGTTTTTCTTCTATACCAATCCAAAACAGATCAAATACACCTTAGCTTACTGTGTTGTAAGAACCCAATGTGTATGTTAACTCACACTAAAAAGCACACTCAGACAATGGAATTGAATGAAGCATTGTTAACTGTAAGCAAGTCTGTTGTGTGAATGAAGCACACTGGCCAATCAGATGCCTTTGGAAAACCTGCAGGCAGCACATGAAGGTCTTCTCATTCTGTTATTCCCTAGCATCTGGCACTCAGAGAAAAACTCATGTTATAGGAAAAATAACTTTTTTTGTCCACTTACTTTCAGTTAGTTTCATGAACAATGCAGAATTCTAAGAAAGAGAAAATATTCCCCCCATCTGTTGTTCCCAAAGTCAGAAGTTTTCTAACCTTCTTCCAATGATCATTTAAAAATGTTCCAGAAACTAGAAACCTTCAAATATTTTAGTCTGTCTTTTTCAAGGGGGATTCCTTTGCTTGATCATTCTGGTTTTTGTTTTCTGTTTTCTATCCTTTTGAGATAATGTGGCCAGACAGTACTGCAAGTATGATTGGACTCCAGTTTTGCAAACTGGAGGAAAGAAACAGAAGAAATAGCAAACTGGAGACAGATAAAGTGGAGCCAATGACCTTGTTATAATGAAGAGCTGGCAAGTAAATGGACTCTTCATAATTCTTTTCTGGACAAAAAGAGGAATTGAGATTGCCTGTAAGTGCTCCACAGGGTTACTCCTTGCAAGGATGCTGTAAGAAAGCAATCTCCAGCAAATGTACAGCTCTGAGGAATTAAGGAATAACTATCTTTTTGCTCAACCTGCATTCAAACACCATCCCAAGAACACAGGTTTTGCATACAGTTGAATTAAACCGTAATTGAGCCTGGCAATTATTATGGTTATAAGTTATGACAAATACAAAGCAGGCAGGGGTGGGATTCAACCGGTGTTACTACCAGTTCGGTACTTACGTTTTGCGCATGTGTGTAATACACTGAAAGCTGTGCCTCCCAGACAGCTGATAAGTGCTGCACGTGGGTGTGCAGTGTTTGAAAAACGCCTTTTTTTATTGCTTTTTCAACCTCAGCTGTGCCGTGCAAAGCAGCTGAGGTTGAAAAAGCAGGAAATAAAGATCAGGTAAGAGCCCAGGCAGGCGGGCGGGCCAAACAGCAGCAGACACAGAACCAGTTCAGTGTCTGCTGCTCTTCATAGCTACTGGTTCTATAGAGCTGGGCAGAACAGGTAGCATCCCACCCCTGAAAGCAGGTCACTATATGACTGAACTTGATTTGATTACTTTTTTGTGGATGACGTTAAGTGAATGCAGTGGTTGTTAAGCAAACCCATTGTTCGTTATGGGTAGAAATAAACACAGGATTCTGGCAAAATGGTAATAAATCGCAGTTATGTGACCATGGAGCATTGTGGGGTTCAAATATCAAATATAAATACAGAAATACAAAAAAAAATAAAGATAATGAGAAAAGGAGGAAAAGGGGAAGAGAAAATGTAGGGTAAAGGAGAAAAAGAAAATCATTGATTTCTGATTTCTTTTGGTGCAGTAGAATAAGAAGTAGCATAAAACCTCATCTTTTTACATTTATATTATAATATATACTAGCCCTTTCTATAACAACAAACCTATGTAATCAGCAAAACCCAAAATGAAAGTTTCATTTTTTTCCATCTCCAGCACAAAGTCCAGAAATTATTTCCAAGTAGAAGAAAAAATAATTATCTTTTTTTCTTTAATCAAAGCGCTCAATTTAGCCATCTCTGCTAAATCCATTAACTTTTACAGCTATTCATCCATTGTGGGAATCAAGGTATCTTTCCATTTTTGTGCATAAAGTAATTTGCTGCTGTCAACATATATAACGTCAAAGTTTCCATTTTTTCAAGTTCTTTATCTATTAATCCTAGAAGAAAATTCTTTGGTTTTATCTTTATATGTACTTTAATCATCTTCTGTATTAAGATGTGAATCCTACTACAGTATTTCTTTGGTTTGTCACATGTTCACCATACATGATGAAAGTTCCTTCTTTGCATTTACATTTCCAACATTTGTTTGAAATGCCTTTATACGTTCTTGACAGCTTGGTCAGTGTTAGATACCAATGGTATATTATAAAAGTTTTCATTTAATTTATAATTTAATGTGAATTTTAGACCTTTTATCCACATATTCTCCCATTGTTCAAAAAATACATTATATCCAAAGTTCTTTGATGACCATGGGGCAACGCAAACAGCTGGAAATATGGGGTAGTTGCTGAAAGCACAGAATGTGGCCATGTGATCATGGGGGAAGGGGGGACATCGGAATTTTGAAATTAGGTTATAAGTAGTTTTTCTGGGGAAGGGCTGTCTGTTGTAACTTCAGTTAGTCACTAAGTAATAAGAACTATTTTTGCTTCCTTTTTTAATCACTTTTGGAAATTGACTGTTAACTGCTTTTCAGCTATTAGAAGCATTTAGATTGACAGGTTTTACAACAGTGGGAATAAAAGTGTTTCCTACAATCCTTAGTAAAAAATTTAAATATAAGTTTAAGAACTTAAAAGTGAAGAGTGTGGTTAGAGCTTTGATTTTGGAAAGTTACAAATGGACTAAGTGTCCAATTGGATTTGAACTAAGTTTTGGAATTAATTATAAAAATCCTTCTCATGGAAAATGCTTTTGTTTTGAATTTGTTTAAAAAAACAGGATGAGACACAAGATTGGACACTAGAGTGGCCCACAAGGAATTAAAGATTACAATTAAAGAAGAACACTTAAATTTAACTTGCTAATACAGAATGAAGAAATATATTTTAACTTTAGACATAGTGAAGAATATTTTTGAACAAGGGAGCCAAAAATATAGAGCCAGTTTGGTACAATGGATAAACTGCTGACCTAGAAATCAGACAACTATGATTTCTAGGCCCATCTTAAAATGAAAGCTGGCTGGGTGACTTCGGGCTAACCCACCTCACAGGGTTGGTGTGGGGGAAATAGAAGAAGGAAGGAGTATATTCATTATGAGTTGTTTATAAAAATAATAAAGGCAGGATAAAAAAAATAAGTTAATTTTAAGAGTGCCTTCCTCTGTAGATAAACTATACCTAAAATAAGTTATGGAAGAGGAATAAGTTTCACTGGACAAGGTAGACTGGTCTGAAAGTGGATAAAATAACAGGTTATAAAGAAAGGATGCTATATTGGACGTACAAATGAAACTAAGTGATGTCTTAATAATTAAAAGGGATATATGGGTAAACAAAAAGAGTGATCTGGATAACATTCCTACCCTGGATATACAAAAGAAACTTGTTAAAGCTTGGAAGAATTTTGTGAGAAGAGTCAAAAATGAAAAGAAATCAAGCTCCAGTATTTGATCAAGGTTAAAATAGGCATGTCATCACTTCTAGCAACCCTTAATATACTTTTGCTGATCAGAACTGAATGACAAGGCTTTAAGGATTATAGCTGAAAATATATTTTGTTTCCTTTTCTTTACTATAGTCTTATTTTTTTCTTTCTATTTTTCTTCTTTTTAGTTTGCATTAGTTTTTTTAATTGTAATACTTGGTAAAATTGCTATAAAATGAGCATTTTTCACTGGAATAACACAGTCAATTTTTTTTTCAAAAGTTTCAATTTCAATCTGCTTGATAACAGTGCGAATGTAAAATGCAGTTAATACAAGCACCCTCATTGGTGCCTTCCAGATGCCTGTATTAATTGGTGATTCTTGGATTCTGCTGTATTCTGTGTTGCTTTTTTAATT